AATCCGACGTGTTCGTTTTTTTTCTGGCAGTCTAGATGGGATTTCGTATTGGAACTTTCACCGAGTGTCGAGTATGTAGATTGTAGTTGTGGGGGGGGGGGATGCGGTAAATGGGTTTATTTGGGGTTGGAAAAAAGGGGATTTTTAGTCTTGAGGGGGAAAATGTGAAGACGAAGGTAAGGACGGAAAGGATAGTTTTTTTTGGTGGGGAAAAAAAAATGGGGTTGGGAATGTATGTGTGTAGATGATGATGGAGTGATATTCGTAGCTAGGTTGAACATTTAATTAGATGGGATTTATTTCATCTAAGCACATATGTCTGAGTGAGAAGTAAAAAGAAAAATGGGGTTATTGTTTTCGCGGGTATGACAAGATTGCTGTGACGGAATGTGAACAAATCGAGACCTTTAATTCTTGCATATCGCTCCTAGTTCTCGTTCTAGTGTAGATAGTCAAACACTAGAGTAATGGGTTCAACATGTAGCTAGCATCTCTACTACATACTTGTGTCCTTCGTTTCCTCTATCTTGATTTACTCCTCCCATCGCGAAAATCTCTCCACACAAACACACCCTCAAAACCTATAACACAAAAATAACAGAGACACTTCACTTTATACACGCACACATTGTCAACACTCCAAAAGTCTAGACAAAAAAGTCATATTAAACTATCCTATCCACCCCCATGTCCATGTCCATCTCCTCCACACTCCCTCCCTTTCTCTTCCTCGCCAAGAGACAGACCATCTTCGGCGAAGCCAGCCTAGAAAGGAGGAACAAAACCAGACACCAGAGGGGTATATATCTAAAAAGTATCCGGCAAAGAGCCAAGGAAGAAAGAAAAAGAAGAAAGCCGTTTCCACCATCCAACCCAATCCAATGTCTTACCTGGGTATCAAAAAAAAAACTCGAAAAAAACCGGGGAAGCAAAGGGGTTCACCGTCTACAAGCCCCCTCTCCCCCCCCCAACCTCCCACTCTATCTCCAAAAGGTTGGGGGAAAAAAGAAAGAAAGAAAGAAGAATTAACCACCAACAATCCAACTCAGTCGTCTACCACCATAAGCGTCTAAAATGCCACACCAACAGCCCCCTCCCTTCTCAAAAAACTCCGTCGACTCCACCTCCCACCACCTCCCACACCGACATCCTTGGCCACAATCTCCATGCCCTTCAATAAATCCCTATTCGGACTCATGGGGGGTGTCGCATTCCATCCTCGTCCCGCACCCCTCGTGCTCGCCGTACCAGGCGTGACGACAACCTTCTCAATCTGAATCTCTTTATCCTCGACGAGGATCAAGGGAGCTGGGACGCGGCGCAATTTGCGGGGTGGAGATGTGGTTGCGATGCTTGAGACTGGGGATTCGGGACGAGTGGGGAGGAGGGTTGCGGTGGTGGCGGTGGTGTCGGTGCTGCCGTGGGAGTCTTGGCGGGTGTGTAGGGTGCGGTCTGAAAGATTGGCGGAGGAAGTGAATGAAGGGAGGCTGGGGCGAGTGGTCTCGCACTTGTAGAAGGAGGCGGCGGTCTTGGGTGTTGTGGGTAGGGAAGTTGCGCTTGAGGCGAGGGATGAGGTTGAGCGTTTGAGCCATGCGCCTAGTCGGGCAATGGGGGTTGTGGGTGTTGCGGCTGGAGGCGGGGTGGGAGGGTTGGAAGTTAGAGGGCCTGTGTGGAGGCGTGGGGGGACTGCGAGGCTGAGACCTAAGGTGGTTCGGCGGGCAGGTTCCGGGGTGGTAGGGAGTGCCTTGGAACTTAGGGGTGCTGAGAAGGCGGAGCCGATATCAGATAGTGTCTCGGAGCGCACGTGCATGCGCATTGAGGGGGCGAGGTAGGGAACGTGGTGGGAGGGTGAAGGGGGAGGGCGGTTGATCAAGGAGGGGGTTTGGGTTTGGGAACGGTAGGCGCTTGCACGGCGTTCTTCGACGATGGTGTTGAGTTCGCGGATGGCATCGTCGACATCGGTTTTTGTACGCCGAATGCTGCCAGGACGGGACGGCGCGGTGTTGGCACGAGCACGTGATGGGGAGGGGAGGCGTGAGAGGACACGTGCTGGTGATAATGTGCCGGAAGTGCGTGAACGACGGATAGGGGGCTGATCAGGCACTTGGTTGTCTGGAAGAGGTGAATCTTCAGATAGAAACGCAAGTGTAGGCGTGGCCATAGTGCCCATGGTGGTTCCAGACAATCTCCTCTCATGTGTGACAGTGCTGTGTTGACTCTGCACACTGGTGCGTCCGGAGTTGGCACGAACAGGTTTGCGTTGGACAAGATAGGAAGACGAAGAAGGCTCCGAGGATACAGAACTAGTACGCGAGTCTCTTACACGGACATGGGCTTCCTGAGGACGGGAGAGCTGTGATGGCAAGTTGGACCAGTACTCTTCGTCGCCAAAGTTTGGCAACGGAGAGAGACGACCACAGCCATTGGGTAGGTAGATGGAGAGCTCGAGAGGGCGAAAGCTCCGACGACGACGGACAGGCATAGATGCGTCGTCGAGCATCGATGGGAAGTCATCAAGGCCGTCAAAGTGTCGAAAGTTGCTGGGCCGGCTAATACTAGGGCGAGCTCGCGAGCGACTAGGTCGTGCGAGGGTGGAGATGCTGGTGCGAGACGAGGCACGTGTGGCATACTCACGACTGTTTGATACCCATTGTGAGACGTGTCGGCTGACCGACTGACTTGTTGATGGACGCGCATGTATTGGCTCAGCACAGGGCTGGGGTACAGCACGAGGCTGCTCGTAGCAGATGCGCATGTCGGTTTCTTTTGATTGATGAACGTCAGTGTTGTATTGAATTGAATGTGCCTGATCAAACTCACCAATGTCTCTTATACTATCCCTCGATTCGTCAATAACATCCTCCTTGGACGCACAGCATCCAAACCTGATGGCCAGCCATGGCGAGCTCTGCTCTTTTTCGTGCATGTTTTCGTGTCCCGTGATGTATATCTCTTTTTGTGCTTGCAAACCAGTGCAGCTAATAACCCATTGTCCGTATTAATGAGGGAACCGTTGAGCAGAAAACAGTAACAACAATAATAGTGATAAGTCGCTGGAAGAATGACGCGCTTCTAATGGAGCCAGTCACTACCAGACCGTTAAAAAAATGTCAGAAAGAAGGGTTTTGGAAAAAAAGAAAGAAAGTAGCGGGGAAGGGCAATGGAACAAAAGAGGCAGGGGGCATAAAAGAGGCTGAATCGTTGACAGAATATGCGTTGTCCTTTGAGTTGAGTGGTCCTTTGCTTCCAAGCCTTGTAGGTCCACCAGGGCCCTCAAGAACAGCAAACCAGTCGCAGGCCACGGGACGACGGTTGCTTTCATATTATAGATTGAGGCCTGCTCCTTGCTCTCTCGTGTATACACGGGCCCAATAGCAGTGCATACCCGGCATGGCGCTCATTAATCTCACATGTTAGTTCGCATGGAGGCTTGCTGGCATCAAGGTACCAGAAAGGCAGAGTGCGAGATGTGATTGGCCGAGAGGGTCCAACGGTTAAGCGCTCGAGGCATAGCGGGAAGAAGTGGCAGCGCTGTGTGGACCAGTGAAGAAGCAATAGCGCTTGCGGACCGAAACCGCGAGAAAAGACACAGCCAAGGGCTGGCTGGCCTGATGGGGATATGCGCCTCGTTGGTTGGGCGTGGCCTCTGAGGTTGCTGCTTCATTTCGGGCCTGTAAGAGTATGCGCGCAGCTTTGTCGCAGCTTGAAAGCCTAGAAGTCCCACACCGAAGGTCTATTTTCATCATCTCTGAGACGTGCGGGGCGCAACGGGCCGGTAGTGTTTGGCATTGAGCATGTAGTGCGATCTATAGCGATCACGGGCGATCATACAGGCGTTGAGAGGGGACCGATGACGATGCAAAAGCTTCGTCGGGACGGAAATCTCCATGCTTTTGCTCGTCTCGCGTGCGCCTGCCACATGTGCAAAGATGCGCCACTGAACGCTAGCCTCGCTCCCGTCGTGCATGCATTCACACATGGCCCATATCAGCCAAAATGCGCTCGAAACACAATGCCGCCATTGGTGAAGACGGCCAGGCGTTGAAACACTGGACATCTCAACAAGTGCAGCCCACTGCCGAATCACCATCTCAGACACCATGGCTTGGCGCGTCTGATTCCCGGCGGCGCAAGCCACTCCAACACATGGTTACTTCGGCATCCACATACGGCTCGCCATCTGGGCCTGCCTCTTAATCAGGAAATGCCTGTGCTGCATTTGGCACGACCAAATCCAATGCTTGGGCGACAGCGGAGACTTATGCACACCTGTACCAGAAAGCCCACGTGTCCAAGGATGAATTCCAAGTGCTTCGATTATGTACTGCATCAACGCCATTGACTCCGCGCGCCAGAAACTCACCGCTCAAGGAATATGTATCATGCGCACCGAACTTAACATCGGGTATAAAGCAAACAGAAAACCCACCAAAGCCGACAACACCTATCCTCATGCCTAAACCGACCCTGCAATGAAACAAGATCGACCGGCATATGCAGCGCGTTTGGAACAACTGACGTGCGCCCTTAGTTCTGGCTCCAGGCATTCCGCTCCTCTCTGAAACTACCATATGACGGGCTGAGCCGGTCCTCCTCATCTCCATTGTGCCCACTGACGTCGCGTGTTTCCCAATGATTGGCCTCGCTCGTCACGTGCGGCCTGATGTCTTGCTCCCGCTGCTCCTCCTCGCCTTGTTCATCCACAGCAAACGGCCGATTGAGGTTGTGCTCTGCCTCGGGATTGTGTGCCTCCGGCTCATCAGGGTTGAAGCCTTCTCGCACCTCTTCCGTCTCACCTTCTCTAGGATACGTGTGGCTGCAACAAACGTTAGTCATTTGCACCACGTCTGCCTCAAGTCTCGACCTACACAAAATGCTTTGCCGGAACTTCGTTCCATCCTGGGCCTCCTTCCTTCCGTGCCCGCACCCGTTCCACCTCCTCAGCTTGGCGATCTTCAACAACCAAGTCCACAAGCTGGGACCGGTCCGATTTCGCAGAGCTTGATGATGACGACTTTTGACGCAGAAGGTGGCTAAAGGGGGCGTGTGATTTGGAATGCGGCGACTTTGAGCGTGAAGACGCTGCTGCGCTCGACCCCCGACGCTGCTTGCCCTTGTCCACAGACGATTGGATCTCCTTGATCTGGCTTTTTCGTCTTCGTTTGTGGTCCTTGGTCGGTTGTAGCAAATTGCGGTTGGTGGAAGCAGTTAGTATGTTTGGATCTGCGTACAAGCGGTCTTCGCGTGATGGCCGATGCGCTTCGATGACGGGGTACTGTGTGCAAGTCAGCCAAATGTGCAACTCTTGTGTGATGTTGTCCACTTACATTCCAATCTCCAAACTCCAGCTCACGTGCATTTCCATAGAGTCGCTCTTCGTCAGCGTCTAGTTCAGGCTCTTCAACAACGTCAGGTGTCCCGTACTTGGCACCCTCGCCATTGAGAGCTTTGTGTGGTCCAGGGCTCATTGCTCGGGCGCGACTTGATGTGACTTTGCTAAGCAAAGGCTCATGCTCTGAGCCTTGTCCAGGCTTTGGAATCCAGTACTTGCCCTTGCCTCCTCTTTCGAAGCGCATTCCTTCCGCCATTCGCGCAGCTCTTGATGAAGATTCCTCGTGTGCAAGTACATTGTCACGAGCGTCAAAGTAGCGGTACTCGTAATGCTTGCCCGCAAAAGTCTCCTTGGTGTCCTGTATGAGATCGAGTGGACCAAACGCATCACGCAATGCATACTTGACGGGTAGCCTTGCGGCCGAGATGGTTGAGTCGGCATAGTCGTGCCAGGAAAAGGCATACCAGTGAGCCACTGCAAAGAGAGGCATTTCGAAGCAGATGAGGGCATCCTGGATGGCAGCAGCTAGATTGTCAGGAGTGTAACCAGCGACGTCATCCGGGATAGCACCAAGGAACACGAGAATGGAAAGAAAAAAGCCTTGCCAATAGGAAGCAAAAATGATGCCCTTGATACACAGGAATTTGGGCATGGGACGGAAGGGCTTGAGGTCTGTGGACATGCAGACCCAGAACATGGCGAGCGCATACAGACTGATTGTAATGCTGACATTGTAGATCATGCCACTCCAGAAGTAGCCCGAAGTTAAGCCAATATAACCTTCCTGGTATGTCCCTGTGGCTTTCATAATGATGGTGGCTACCGAGAGCAGCGGCTTGACCCATGTGTATTGGAGGATGCCCCGTTTGATAGCAAGGAACGTGTGTGGGTCGGAGATGTCAATCTTGGAGCAGAATAGGTTCAGTGGCCATAGGTGAGAGACGGGGGCTCGACCGGTCATGAGGATGATGAGGGCGCGCTCGCCGCCAATGAAGTTAATCAGCAGTTGGAGGAAAGTGTAGATTGTGAAGGCCTGGACTGGTCAGTGTGTGCGAATCAGGGCGACAGTGATCTTAGTACCTCGTAAACGTCTCTGAAGGGCTCTACGTAGGCTGCTGCCGTAGTGGAGACCAAGCTGGCCCATGATGCGCCCGAGTAAATTGGCACCCTGTGGACGTTCAGCATAACGGCAAGGCAGACGCGTTGTGAAGCCTACATGAGCAGTATACGAACGACATATCTTTGTAGCATTGGCTTTCTGTAGTTCTTCCTGAAGGTGGATTAGTATAGCCTCCGCAGGACTGGAGGGGCCCTACTCACGTCTGTAACCAGACAGCACTATAGCTACGTCAGCGGGAGTCGACTATGGAGAAACTGCACTGCAACCTACACGACAGTGACCAGACTTGCCACAAGGGCGCAGACTCCGGCTACTATGATGACAGCATGTGCAAAGCGAGCCCCAGTACCACCAGAGGAGAAGCCATCTGCCTCAAGGCCCTGGTGGAGGCTGCCTGCGTCCATGGTGACGAGGCGTGGGGATTGTTTGTTGGCAGTTGTGAGAGCTACCACAGAGGACAATAAATAAAAAGAGGCTGAGAGAAGTTCAGGAAAAGAAGGCAAGGAAGAAGAAAGATGATACTAGCGGCGGAAGACTGCCATGGCGTGCAGTACAGTTCGCAGCCCAGGCGCTGTTGGTCTTGTGCACGTCTCGCCTCCGCGGTGCTGTGGTAATAGGTTTGCGGAGGAGCAGAGAGGCCCAAGCTTGCTCTTTCCCCCCTGCACGTCGCTCATGACGCGCATCGACGCCTCCAGTCTTTGGGTCCCGAGGTAGCGCCATCCCCGACGCTACTTGATACACACTGTTCGCTGCTGCGATAATTGTATACACATACCCATATAACAGAAAAAAGTTGCGCACACATAGAGGCCAATGTCGCCTCGCTGATCCGGCGCCGCTCCAGCGCACTCGTCCCATGCATACTAACTGCCGCTGCCCATTGCCCGTCGTCTCCCCTATGGCGCCATGAAGACGTACATACCTCGCCATACAACGCGCTGCAATCATGGCGGGAATCGTCGCGGAGCCCTTGGATCCCCGCGACGGCTTCAACTGGTGAGCCCCCTGTGCGGGCATGCTCGGGAACCCAAGTTAACGCTGGCAGGATCTTCCTCGTTGAACTGCTCATATGCGGTATCCTGACCATTTTCTTCCTCTTCTACTTCAACCGCCTGTTCGCGACTCTTGTCGCATACGCCATACGCGCATACACATGGCGTGCCTTCAATGCCTACATTGACATCACCGCCCTCCAAGTCTCGTTGCTTGGCGGCCGCCTCTTCTTCAAAGACATACGATATCACGGTCATAATGAGACGATCCTGGTACATGGCGGGTACATTACCTGGAATTACTGGCTGCGTCGCGTCAAAGATGCTGGTGTCTATACCGATGATGGCTCTGCACCTGGAAGTGACAGCGCCAGTCACTCTTCGAACACCTCCCGTACCAGATCCGGCAGTGCCAGTGGCAACTTAGACAAGGCAGAAAAAGGAGGCAAGCAGACGCGGAAGGAGCTGCCATGTCGCTTCTCAATCAAAGTGTCGGGAATCGAAGCTTTCTTGTACAACCGCAGCCCTGCCTACGACGGTATCATCGAAGCCGTGCAAAAGAAGGCCGAGAGCGATGCCGCACAGCAAAAGACCCCCGAAGGTTCCGTTTCCGGATCGGAACTGCCAGAAAAGAACGAACACCACCACCACTACCATAACAAGCTGAAAAAGTCACATACCCAAGCCGAAAAGAAAGTCCCACGCCATGATACAAGCCGTTCCACTACATCTGGCCCCACCAAGCCCGACCTTCCCGCTTTCCTCAGGCTGCTCCCGGTCCATGTCGACATTGTCAAAGGCGCCATCGTTGTCGGGAACGAGCACACGCTAGCTGTTATGACTGCGCAGTTTGAAAAAGCAACCGGCACTCTCGATGCATCGACTAGCGGACCCCTGGATGTGTATCAGCAGCTGTTCAGTTTCCAAATCACCCATCCCGTGATCCACATGAAGCCTAACCCCGACTACAAGATCGCACAGCTTGATTCCGCCGTACAGTTCAAGCAAGAAGTTGCTGAGGGTTCCTCGGAAGGTAGCATTATTGAAAAGGAAGCCAGTCATCGGAGGCATTGGCGCTGGTTGAGGATTCCAAGCCTCTTTCGTTTCTTTTCAAAAGATAACGATTCAATCCATACTCACACTAAAAATAGCTCCGGTAACCACAACCCTCCTCTGAATTCCCAGTGGACGTTTCCCGGGCGCGAGCGTTGGAAAGGACTGGCGCGCTATCTTGACGATACCACCAACGATGGTCACGGCGAGTGGGATGGCATCGAGTATGCAAAGACATCCTTGATCGCCGACTGCCCGTGTATCAATATCTCCTTCTACTGGGACGTACCAGGCCCTGTGCCGAATGGCATGGACCACAGTAAGTATGTGGACCCTGCGCGTCCATACGACATGAACGGATGTGCTCCACCAGATTATGGCATGGACATACAGATATTTGGTGGCATAATCAACTATGGTCCATGGGCAGACCGACATCGTGGTGTCTTCCAGTCCATCTTCTTTCCCGCTTCACGCGTAGACGCTATCCCTTCGACTCCCCTGAAGCCCGGAGACCTTCGTGTGCTCTCTGTTTTCAAACTCTATCTCAGCATCGAAGAGGAAACGGTACTGCGTATTCCAATTCGTGAATCTTCAAAAGACTGGAAATGGAAAGGCAAGGCTCATACCTTGGCGGCACATGATAAGCTTGGGGAGAACAAGGGTAAAGCAAAGTCTCGAATCAGGCGGGGAAAGCGTAGAGATGCTACTAGGTCGCAGAATGTTCGCCCCTTTGCATGGATCGACGTCAAGATAGCTGAGAAATCTACTGTCAACTATGTTATGGACATGTACGCCTCCGAACACGGATATCAAAGCAAAGTAGACGTGGATGTCCCAAGCACCGAGATATCGTCGAGCGTGAACCATGGCCTCTTGTGGCGCTCTGGTGCACTTGCTGTTGATTGCGACTTATCCAACCCTCTAGGCTGGAACACCCTTCGAAAGTGGCTGTTCAATATCAAATGTCAAGACTTGGAACTTTTCTTGCTCCGAGATCACATGTTTCTGATTATGGATCTCGTTGCTGATTGGGGAACTGGTCCGCCGCCCGACTATTTCCTCTTTGTGCCCTTTCAGTATCTACTCAATGTCGACTTCACCAACTTTAAGATATATCTCAACACGAATGACTCCAACATCATCAACAATCCAGCCGATTTAGAAGACAATAACTTTGTCATCTTGTCCGGCAAGGGGCTGCAGGGCGATGTCTTCATACCACTCGACAAGTTTCGACCACTTCAGAATGAGATCAAATTCGACGTCAAAGGCCAAAACCTAGGTCTCGAAATCTTGATGCCACCAAAGAACACGCTGCAGACATTTGTGCAGTCACCAAATGTGGCATACCTTGGCGGCCTAACGTTAAGGGGTAGCCATACCTTCATGGCTGAAACGTCTCCGATGAACACCGATAGACTCTACATGGACATTCAAGGTCATAGGCTTAACCTTGAACTTTACGGCTGGCTCATACACCATTTCATAAAGATCAAAGACAACTATTTTGGCGATGACATGCACTTCAAGACACTGGAAGAGTTCCAGGGGCTCCCAGCCGCCAACATCACTGCAGAAGGGGCATCTCCGAATGGTGATGCATCCAGCATCTCAAACGACCTGGATGTAATCCTCTGTGTTTCTGCGGACAACGTCTGTGTACTACTACCCGCCAATCTCTACTCCGCTGAGCGTGGCATCCGAGCGGATCTCCCATATGCTTCTGCTGATCTAAGGTTTACAAACTACTACATGGACTTGATGGTAAATTTTAGTCCAATTAGTATTGCTCTTGGGGGCTTGCTGCCAGACACTGATGTACCCAACGAGTTTTCAAGTGGCCGGACTGAACTTTTCGTCGATTCAACAGTCATCTATGGACACCGTCTATTCGGATTGCCACCACTTGAGCCAACCTACCTCTGCAACTGGGACTTTGACGTCGGTAGGATTACCGGAGACTGCACGTCGGAGTTTCTCGAGGTGGCAGCAGGAGCGGCACGTTCGTTTGCCTTCACGCTCGACGATGATGAGAATACGTTGCCTCTCACAGAAATACCTATCATCCACGATACTACCTTCCTCCGCCTCAGGACACATGACATTGGCATCTGCATACAAATAGCAAAAGAGGCTATTATGTTGAAGACAAGACCTGTGTCTTTGAACTTCAATGACCTTGCGGGAACTACTTTCTCCGAGCGTCTCCACGTTATTGTGCCTGACCTGACCATCATCGCTGTTCCATCAGAGGCTGCATCACACCACCGAGTGCGGTCTAGAGACGGGGAAAATGTTGTGCCTCAGGCTTACCTCCAGACTACACTCTCGCTTGACTTGTTAACGCGAAAGCTGGACTTTTCGGAAGAACGCGCACGCCAGCAGGCCCACCTAAGAATGCACGACCAACGGACTCAGCGCACTGGCTTCATTCTCTCCGGTGACCAGAGCTCTTTTCGTCTAGAGGATAGTATGAGAAACAATCTGCGTCCACCTGCTATGCAGTACCCCGACGTGCCTCATCCCATCTTCCTTTATGGGCCGCCGAGTGGCCAAGATGGTTCGTTTACATCTTCCAGCTTGTCTTCAGTTCGTTCGTCTACTACAGGGCGAAGGTTACGTCAAAAGAGCAAGCAATCTTCATCAGCCTCATCCTTTGCTGACAGTATTCGATCTACTCTTCGTCGTAAACCAGGTGATAGAGCCAAAGGCTTTAACGAAAGCGGGGCCCTGCTTGAAGCTTCACCAAAATACTCAAATTACGAACGTCACTCCCATGTGCTACCTGAAACCGGCGACAGCCAGGACCAGGGTTGGGTTCCCTCATCTATTGCATTCTCTAGCAATTTGGCTGCCCCTTGCTTTGTTTTTGAGCAATTAACCCCAGATCTTTCCGAAGTGCCACTATTCCCTGCAATGCCTGCTATTCAACAACAAAAGAGCATGAACGACGTTGTGTTTGATGACGTGGCAGCTAAGCGTTTCGATGAGAGTTTCACGCACACCAGTATACTGATCAGTGCCCAGCCAGGTATACGGGGGTATTGCACGCCCAATTTCATTACCTGTGTTGCAGAATTGATTGAGCTGCTTCAGCCTAGGCGACCTGAGGATCTACTAGATGACTTCCAACACAGTGTCATGAGTAAGATTCTTCAAAACCGAAATCGACTAGAGGGGAAAGGCAGCTCACTCGAGTTCAATATTCGCATACCGTTCACCCACGTCAGGTTCCAGCACAGCTTCCAATCCCATTCTGTTCAAGAGACGGGTCAGAACCAGTACGATGTTGTTCTCAATCGACTTGGCCTTACGGCAAGACTCAAGAAATTTCCGGGAGAGCGAGCTGGAGAAGACACCATGGCGCTGCACTCAACGCTGGGATCTCTTGGTCTTTCTGTGGCTGAGCGCGCTCTCGGCACTGCTACTGGAGACGTTGCAATCCAGGCTGAGATGAGAGAGGTCTTGTTCTGGATGTTTCAAGGCAGAACGACATCGTTAAACGTGTCTTTTCGGACCTTTGAAAATGCAATGGCGAGCAAGAAGGTGGACTATTTGGCAGCACTTATTCATCGTACGGCACTCATGACTGAGATGACAATTCATCAGTTCGCTGAAGTCGATCAAAGATATCAGCAGCGATTGCGCTATCTCGCCTGGCACCTCAGCTGTGCACAAGATCAGTATGCGGATCCAGCATTTCTCACCAAAGCGTCGTACGCTCTACGCGCAACAAGGGACCATCTACGCAGTCATGACTCATGGAAGATTATTTCCAGGTTTCGCTATACATGGCAGTGTCTGCCACAAGCCGAAAAGGGCATTCTCCTAAGCGATTGCTCCCGCCCAGATGTGACATCTCCAGAAGATGCTGAGCAACAAATTATTGCAATGTTGGACCAGTGGCGGACATGGGATCTCGCACACGTGAAGAAAAGTCTGGCAATTCGATTCCTCTTTGGATATCTGGAAAATAAATTGCCAACGCCAGAATCAGCGCCTTTGTACATTGATATCAAGTCTGCTGAGATCAAGCTGACAGTCGATCCTGGTCCACGGCAAAGCGAGATCTCGCTGGGGCTTTTGGCAATCAATGTTGCGTTATTGCCTCCTACCCAGCCCAATGGACTTATGCTGGTCGACTCCGAGGATGTTCCAAGAAAGACTACAATTGTTCAAATAAGCTCAAGAAAAACCGCATTCCATATCCGGTGGGAAATTTGTGAGCTTGCCGAATCCTTGCTAAAGCTTTTTCAAAAGGAGAATATCAAAGCAATCGAGCAGGCCAAATCAACACCTACCGATAAACTCCCAGGACTAGCTACCACGTCCGATCATGATCTGCAGGTGGTATTCGCGGCCGACAAGTTTCAAATCACTCTAGACACCTTCAACCTCAAGAGTATCAATACTGCTCAGAATATGCGCTTCTCTTTTCTCGATGCGGATAGTAGGGCATCGAAACTGGGTGAAACCTTGTCTGCTCATCTGCATGTTGACGTAGCTGTGAGTGAGCTCATCTCGCGCTCACGTCTAGTTGCCAAAACTCAGTCCGAACGACCGAGTATAGATTTCGCAATGACAGAGCAGAGCAGCGCGGAGAGGTTACCCAACGAGATCAAGGTAGCAGGAACAAGCCACAGAATTACTGTAAAGGTACAAGATGATGTACTCGGCCTAATCGAACTCGCAGATAGGGTGCTCAAAGATGAGGTGGCATATTTCCATCGTCAGTCTGCAGCACTACAAGAGATTGCAAAAGCAGATCAAAAACTCGAAACGCCCAAAGAAGATACCTCACAGCTTCCAAACATCTCTCTAGCGCTGTTCATGGACTCATACCAAATTGAGCTTGCTATATTGCAGCCTTGCGGCTGGTCGATTACGGGTTCGTCTGGACGCATTGCCGTTGTTCCAGCTCTCGGGAAGCGCATCACACTACAGGTTGATTACGATCTCGAAGCCAGTCTTCACAGGCTATACAGCACATCAAAGGAGGGTTCTCACGTTATCAGTTCAGTCGAGCTGCCACCACTCAATGGAAGATTGACTATCAAACAAAATGAAACTCAGACAAGAATTGTTGCATCGGGCATTGTCGAAAAGGTACACGTTCAAGCTTCAGAGATTCAGAGCCTGATATCTACTATCAACAAACCTGAGATGGCACAAATGTTCAAGGCAGTCCAGGACGATATCGGAGTTTTGAAGACTCACATTGGAGAAATGTTTCCGGCTTCTGCAAAATCACCAGTTCCGCAACCTCCAACCTCTTCTCGAGACACCTTGTTCACTGTGAAGATGACATTCCATGGAATGCACATAGCTGCAAGTGCTCCAGGTCAAGGCAAAGATTCACCAACGGCAAATCTTGCGTTCAGGCTTTCGACCGTACAACTCAACGCTACGAACATCGATGTAGATCAAAGCATTATGCTCTATCCCGAGGCAGTCGTGCGAATTCACGAGGTCACTGTCGATCTCAGTTTGAAGGATCCCAACTCGGTTCGCCGCTGCGGCAACCTGACCTTCAGCGCAGTCTTCCAAGCCACAACCGAACAGGAATCCGAGCCTACGCGTAGGGTTTACCGTTTGCGAAGCTCGGGTCTGGAAGTGAATGCATTCGCGGACACCGCATCTGCTGTTGTGGATGTCGTGAATCATCTCCAGGACCGAATCAAGGATCTGGATCTCTCCAAAGAAAAGAGGTATCTGCGACGCCTTCGACATACTAAGAGTAGAATCTCTCAGCGACGCGACCGTAGCCTCAAACAGCATGCAGAACAAGACGCTGAGAGTGACTCTTCTGGGGCCCTCTTTTCGTCCACATACTCTTTGGAACTTCTCGACCTACAAGTCAGCTGGATCGTCGGTAATTCAGTCGCCCCTTTCCCACAGAACGAGATTCAGGATCTTGTGCTCTCCTTTGGAAGAATCGATTTGTCGACGCAGAAAGACGATGCAGCACGGTTGATGATCGAAGACATGCGGCTCCAGATGGTACCAGTATCGGCAAACAAGAAGGACCGCTCACTGAACTCAGCATTGCTACCCAAAATGGTCTTCAATGTTGCATATGCTTCTACAAAGGATACACGTAAACTCGCATTCTTTGCTGCCGGAAAGTCTCTTGATCTCCAGCTGGACTCGCATTTCGTGTTGCCTGGGAACATCATCGAACAATCAATTTCTCTTGCCGGGAAAAAGTTCCGTGAGGCCTCTGCAAACTGGAGCATGACCCCTACGACGACTGGTGCACAAAGAAAGAATCCTTTTGGCAACAAACGTCTGGCTTCATTGACAGCTGACGTCAACTTTGCTGGAGCTGTAGTTCATATCCACGGTAGCGATGCAGCGCCAGCCCAAGGCTCCTCTGGTAGAGCTCAACAGAAGGGAAGGTACAGCCAATTTGTGGGTGACGAGTCAAAAAGCAGCATGGCTTTGCGTGCGCCTGGCGTGGCGGTCCGGATTGAGTACATGGACGATGGCAGTGATCCCTCTTTGAATGCTGAGCTTCGTGTTGACGGATCCACCAACACGCTGCTCCCCACTGTGGTGCCTATCATTATTGATATCTCCGATAGCATCAAGGCAGTAGTCCGTGAAAAGGATGACAAAGGAACATCTGATTCGCCTAAACAGCCCGAACAACCACAAGGACAATCTAAGCCAGCTGCGAAACTTCTCGAGGACGAGAACATCATCACAGCCGACCCTGCCACGCTACTGGGCAGAACGAGGCTGAATCTCGGACTTCGGATATGCAAGCAAGAGTTCAGTCTTAGTTGCCAGCCCATCGCTCGCGTCGCAGCAATTGCCAAGGTAGAAGACATTTACATCACAGTCAACAGCGTCAAGTCTCAAGAGCATGGCCATTTCTTCGCTGCATCCGCCATGTTTGAGAAGCTTCAAACTACTGTTCAACACGTCTACTCTCGCGAATCTACCTTCAGCCTCGACATGGAATCTATTGTTCTCTCGCTCGTGAATAGTAAACATCTCAACGGCACTAGTGGTATTTCTGCTATCCTTAAAATCAACCCGACCGCTCTTCAGATCAATGCACGTCAACTGCAGGACTTTTTGCTGTTCCGAGAGATCTGGATACCCCCAGAAATCAGACGAGCATCCAAGCCAACACCAGAAAATGTCAATTCCGAGCCACAAGAGTACCTCATACAACGCTATCAGCAAGTCGCTGCGGCTACGGCCTTTCCATGGAACGCCAACGTAGCCATTGCAGACGTCAAGGTCGATCTAGACCTAGGTCAATCCATTGGAAAGTCATGGCTGCATATCCACAACCTGTGGGCATCTTCCAAGAAGACTACTACAGCAGAACAGAATCTTTGCATTGGTGTAGAGAAGATTGGCGTCGAAAGTACCGGCCGTACAAGTGGCTTCATTGAGTTGCATGATATCAAAGTACGCACTTCTATCGGATGGCCACTGCAGGACCCAGGCACTCGTCAAACGCCGCTCATCCAAGCTTCAGTAGCTTTTCGTCAATTGCGTGTCAAGACAGGTTTCGACTTTCAGGCCTTTCTCATGGCGGATATTGCCGATTTTGGTTTCATGATGTACAATGTCCGTCCAGAAGGTGAAGATGTACAAGACCGACTGGTTGCCATTCTCGATGGTGGCAAAGTTCACGTGTTCTGCCATGCAACAAGTGCTGCGCAAGGTCTAGCACTGTGGCAAGCAGTTGAGCGACTGATTCAAGACAACCAACAAGCATACAAGCAGTCTCTCAAGGATATCGAAAAGTTCCTTCGCCGCAAATCATCCATAGCCGAACCATTCGATCGTTCGCCATCTCAGAGCCAGATTCTCACGAAATCTGACAAAGACAGCTTCAAGGCACCAATTTCACTACACACGGATGTGGTGCTGACGCTCCGCTCAATACGCTTTGGTGTCTTCCCTTCAACCTTTATAGATAATCAGGTCCTAATGCTTGAAGCCGGCGACATGCAAGCCCGTTTCGCCGTTGCGCTCGAAAAGAAAAACAAGATACATTCCAGCCTAGGCATGACCCTAGGCCAGCTCTCCGTAGCCCTCTCCTCTGTACCAACACCCAAGAAAAGCAAGCCCGTCACCGAACTCGACGTCGAAGACGTCTCCACAAGCGTCAGCTCCGCCCGCGGCGGCACCATTCTCCGAGTCCCCAAAGTCATCGCAACAATGCACACCTGGCAAGTCCCCAAAAGTACGCACATCGACTACCTCTTCCGCAGCTTCCTCGAAGGCAAAGTCGACGTTGGCTGGAACTACTCGCGCATCTCCTATATTCGCACCATGTGGTCCAACCACTCACGCACCCTCGCCTCACGCCTCGGCAAACCCCTCCCAGAATCAAACATCAAAATCAGTACATCACAGACCCTGCAGGACGCCTCCTCTGATAACGCTGACTGCGGCGCCTCGACCGCCGACAAAACAGCTATGCCCTCGGGCCGTCCGCGTGCCCCCTCCACATCGTCTGACAACCAAGAAAAGATCACAGCGGTAGTCAATGTTCCGCAGTCGAAATACGAATATACGCCCCTGGAGCCACCGTTGATCGAGACACCGCAGTTGAGAGACATGGGTGAGGCGACGCCGCCGCTGGAGTGGATCGGGTTGCATAGGGATCGCTTGCCGAATGTTACGCATCAGATTGTTATTGTGACGTTGCTTGAGGTGGCGAGGGAGGTGGAGGAGGCGTATGAGAGGATTTTGGGAAGTAGTTAGATCGTTTTCTGGTGTGAGAAGCGAGGGGGAACGGGGATGTGTATATACATATTTTGATTTTTTGTTTTGCGCGTTGAGCATGGCGTTTATAGGTTGGGTTTGGGAAAAGGTAGCATGGGTTTGGCGCTTGTGAATATAGAATTGAATTGGTTTACTACCTTTTTTTGGTTTTGAGAGTAATTGCCATCACTAAAAGAATGAAAGGCATATGTAGAAAGTAAAAACGGAATTCTATTCAATCTATCTCAGGATTTACAACCGTGATAGGAAAGAGTACTGTTAAGAAGGCTACTTCACTTTCGTGTTCCACCCACCTGGGTGTCATCTGGAACGTTTACAATTGATCATCTCTTCTACGCTTCCTATAAAGATATGTACAGCACTAACGCTTACAGAACTCCTCACTACGATATTTGTCAGATTAGCTCGGCGTTTCCAATACAATCTGCTGAAAGAGTATTTTCAATCATAACATGATAAATACTGGTGGTCATCTTCAGCTTCTATGGAGAATAAAAAGTCAGCAGTGACGTACTAGCGAAAGGGTAATGTCAGCTGTACGGAAGAGCGGAAAGGTGCTAACCGCACGTGGTCAGTGCTCGGCCTGTCAGTTCGTGCCTTAGTTCATTTGCGGACATGTCCGACTCCGCATCACGGAATCCTTTACAGCTCAGCCACGATCAATCCATGATCAAATCGTTGGGCAGGAATGACTGCTGAATCATGTGCCGCCCCAGGCAGCGCCGGCCAAGGGCGTTTCGCATTTGAAGCGCGCGTGTGATGGCTCAATCACACGGGTCCCACCTTCACATTCTGCCCCTCCCCCTCTCTGAGCACATAACGACCGTCTCTTGCGCGCATTTTACGTAGAGTGATACTTCTTCCACCTTCCGCACTGTTGGGTCGTTATCAAAAAACGCGACATGGCAAGCCACGATTACTACGGGCAGAGTCAAGGCCACGGCCAACAAGGCTATGGCCAGAACTATGAAGGCACCAGCCAGCGACAATGGGGTTCGGCAGACAACAATCAAGGCTACCCTCCTCAGCCTCAGGCCTATGGACAACCGCAGCACGATCAATACGGCCAAGCAAACCACAGTCCCTATCCACCAGCGCAGGTTAGCAAACTCGCGCGGCTCAACGCGTGTTGTCGCATCCATGTTTACTCACTGACTATGGAATAGAGCCCTTACCCGCCCCCTTCCTATGATTCCTATGGGCAATCCCAGAACAACTATGGCGCCCCTCCTCAGCCTGTAGATCAATACCAGCAGGGCTACGACCCGAACCGTAGCACCTCTCCTTACCCGCCCACGGCGCATCATCAGCAAGGCTACCAAGATCCAAGCCAGCAGTACGGAGCGCCTCAGCAACAGGGACATCATGACCCCCAGCAAGGCTATGGTGCGCCACAATACGGCCAACCTGGTGCTCCAGGCGACGCCGCTGAAGGAGATCGTGGCCTTGGTTCCGCTCTGATAGGAGGCGCAGGTGGTGCTTTTGTTGGAAACAAGCTGGGTGGCGGAACGCTCGGAACCCTAGGAGGCGCAATTCTGGGTGCTGTCGCAGCCAACATGGTGCCTGACAAGTAAGCTAAATTGATCATTCCGAAATTCTTGTTAGGGTTATACTGACTTGTGTAAAGGAAAGAAAAGAAGAAACACAAGAAGAAGCATAGGCGTAGTAGTAGCCACGGTTCCCATCGTTCGCATGACGGGTCGGACGATGGGTCTCATCATGGATCACATCACGGATCTTCCCACCACCATTCGCACCACGGGTCTTTACACCATTCACATCGTAGCTCGTCGGGTCACAGGCACAGGCGCAGGCATCATAGAAGCCATAGCAGAGGAGGCAAGAGCAGTTCTAGTTCGAGCAGCAGCGATTCGGACTAGGTTGAGCATGTTTAGGGATATCCTCTCAGGTCTACGTGATACGAATTCCCCTTCGTACCAATGGTTTGCATTCTGATTGATGAGAATTATGTTACTCGGCGACTATTAGGTAGCAATAGCTGCAAGAACGAATCCTAGTTATACTGATTTCAAGTCAAATTGAACATTCCTTATTATTTGCAAAAAGAAGAATGTTTTGAGACGCTACTGAGTTTTCCTATCAAGGCAGTGTATGACGGTCGATCTCTAACATCTGGTGCTGAAATCGCATAACATGAACAAGGTTCTGAACCAACATCAGAAATCTAGATAGGCGTCCATGGTCGTCCACAGAGTTTGACAGTGGGTCCGTCTGAACCCTGACTTTAGCCAAAACAGGCTAAGCGTATCACAGCCCTTTTTCTCCACCGAGTTACTCATCGCCGCCGCAAATTCCAAAATAGCCCCGCAACCGCCCTTGTGAAGGTGCAGATTTAGTCTGCCTGGTATTTTCCAGAGTCGCAAAAATATCTGGGCGTTTTTCCAAATCAACCCAAAACATCACAATCATGGCCGACGTATTTTTGAGTTTCTTCCGGACTTCCTTGCCCGATGAACTTGCGGCGGTAATCGAGACTACCATCAAGGCGACCGAATCAGGGGACTTTCAGTCTGTGCTTCAATCCCCAGAAGCGCAGATATTATTAGGCCATCAGGACGACGAAACTACCAAAAATGTTAAGAGGAGCGATTTTGGACTGTGGAGCGACTACGTTTTCCATCGCCTTGGATTGATATTATCAAAGCGAAAGGAGGAAGAATCTACTCCCACAAACGAAACTGCGCTTTATCGACAGCATGTCTACTTCTTGATCGCAGTCGCTGCGTTGCATGCGTTCCTACAATCAAATGTTACGGGACCACCACTACCATTTAAGTCGGCTGAAGTGCTGCTACCAAAGGATATCGCAGATGACGCCAAAGCCCTGGCTAAAACGCGCGGAGAACTTGTAACATCATTGAACGCCGACGGTGTTGCAGCGTATCGACTTACTCCCAACATTGAGCTGCTTTGCTTGGCGGACACCATTCTCATCAGCCCTCCTATCCAGAAGAACATTCCAATCTCAGTATGGGCCAGACTAAGGACCAATTTCATCCACCAAAGACTGCTCAGTGAGGCTGCACCAAGCCTACAGGACGCAATCTACGACAACCTCAAGGGTGTAGAAGACTTGATCCAGAGCTCAGGGAAGATCAACGAGATCAAGGATTTGCACACCACATTTTTGCTTGAGCGTGCGGCTATCCATACACACCACGGTCTCGACAAGAAGGCGAGAGCAGATCTCGACCAAGCAGCTTCTGAGCGCAAGTTTGAATTTGCACTGACTGGTTTGATGGGCAAGAGAACAAAATTTCAGCAAAAAGACACAAGTCAATTGATCGTGCTTGCTCGAAGCGCGGGATCACAAGCTAGTGGTACATCAGAAGAAACCTCGAAGCCCAAGAAACTGGATCTGAACGACGACACACTACTTGAGTCCATATCCTTTACAAACGACGCTGTATCTACCGAGATCAAAGACGAATCAGAAATCCCCGCATCTCTTCAATCCATAGACCCGTCAAACCAACCACTGCTCGATCCACTCGACTCAGTCATTATGCTTTCGCTGGCTGAAAGCATCAAGAACACCAACCCTGCAGACGGCCTTACACGTGAGCAAACGGAGCCGTACGCAACACGAGTGCTCGAAGGCGGAAGTTCCAACTGGCAAGTTTACACTCAGGCTCTTCTCGTGCGCAGTCGTATTGAGGGTTACAAGCCGCGTACTATGGAACGAGGCTTGCTCCAACTGCAAGCACTTGTCGATCAAGTTATTGTGGAGACTTCGGGCGATTCTACTACAGATGCTGAGACGGGTCAGAAGGTTACTTCTTTCCTGCCACAAGCAAAGCAGGAAGAGTCAGCATCTGTTGAAGAGCGGATACGCTATATCTTTCCGCTCTGCTCGCCTTCGCGATGGGAACTCGAGTCCGAACTTGCAGCTCGCTGGGTTGCACTGGGTGGTCTACGATCTGCCCTTGAAATCTACGAGAGATTGGAACTATGGGCTGAAGCAGCACTTTGCTATGCTGCTACTGAGAAGGAAGACCGAGCGCGAAAGATCATCAGAAGGCAGCTTTTCCACGCCACCAACGGCGACGAGAACGTGGATCTGGACGCAGAGAAGTGGGAAGGAGCAGAACGAGATCCACCACCAGCCGAAGCACCACGCTACTACTGCATCCTAGGCGACATTGACAAAGACCTCTCCCTCTACGAAAAAGCCTGGGAAGTATCTGGAAAACGCTATGCTCGTGCCCAACGCTCTCTCGGCCAACGCTACATCGCAGCCCGCGACTACGAAAAAGCAGCAGAAGCCTACTCCCTCTCCTTGAAAATCAACGCCCTCCACCACCCCGCCTGGTTCGCCCTCGGCTGCGCCCGCCTCGAACTCCACGAATTCAAAAACGCAGTCGAAGCCTTCTCACGCTGCGTCCAGCTCGACGACCAAGACGCAGAAGCGTGGAGTAACCTCGCAGCTTCACTATTGCACCTACGCCCCAAGGTCAACACCGAGAGTGAAAACGGCGAAGTATCAGAAAATAAAGTGACGAACCACCCGCGCACCGATGCACTCAAAGCATTCAAGCGCGCAGCAACAATCAAACACGACGACTACCGCATCTGGAACAACGTCCTCGCCGTCGCCACATCGACGAATCCTCCCTCGTGGCAAGACGTCATCACCGCCCAACGCCGCATCTGCGAGCTGCGAGGCCAGACGGACGGCGAAAAATGCGTAGACGCTGAGATCCTGAATATGCTCGTCAAACACGTTGTTTCGAGTGAAGAAGGATTCGATACTTCGCGCCCGGGTCTCGCACGCATGACGAATGATCTCATTGAAAAACACGTCAAGCCGCTCATTACAGTCTCCCCGCAACTCTGGATCATTCTCGCAACGCTGTACACGCACACGCAGCGTCCGGCGTCGGCGCTCGAGTGCCACGAGAAGGCGTGGCGGGCCGTGACGTCGCAGCCGCGGTGGGAGTCTAGCACGGAGGCTGAGTGGAATGCTGTGGTGGATATGACGGTGGATCTGGTGGATGCGTATGAGACTTTGGGTCCTCGGGAGCGGACGGAGGGACTGAGTGCGGGCAGTGGGGAGGTGGTGGCTAAGGATTGGAAGTTTAAGAGTCGCAGTGCGGTGAGGAGTGTTATGGGGAAGGGCAAGGAGAATTGGGAGGATACGGCTGGGTGGGAGAAGTTGGTGGAGAGGTTGGAGGAGTTGAAGGCGAGGGATTAGGGGTGTGTGAGTGAGTGTGCTTGTAGTGTATGGGGAGTCAAGGGGCAAATGTTAAAAAGTCTGTAGAGGGTTACAGGATTCACCAATTTCGTTTTTACAAAGAAGCTTGGTATGCGAGAATGCTTGGGTATGCTAAGGTGTCTTGGCCGGTTCGTTGTCAATACTCTGCCTACGAGGAGATTGTATCATGTCCCTTCTTGTTTCGATGCGAGCGCTTGGACTTTAGCCCTCCGTACAAAGATACTTTGATAAACCGTTGGCGTATACTCGACCATTGACTGGTGACCCCATTGCGGGTGTGAACAAGTAGAAATATTCGAGGGATCCGGGCCAATCACTGGTTGCAGAAGGGCTGGCTGCAAGAGCCCCGCGACGGTATGTAGTAAGCGCACATGCAATCATTCAAAACTGACGAAAAATCTCGATTTAACGAAGGGGCCCAACCATATATGCCTTCAATTTCTAGTGAGAATATGCACTTTTTTCTTACTCGACCTGGCAAAACTGTCACAATATCGTTTGTTCCAAGATACTATACTTCCAGCATCTCTTCCTCGCGGCGTCAAGATGCCCCTCTCCCATTAGTTGCGACTCAGAACGCCCACGAATGTGCATACATGTGCAGATGATCTAGTGCTTCGCCAGAAGAATCATCCTAACGGGCCATGTCGTTTGAACTGGACCGGTTATATGAGTGTCCGGCCCTTGTTGGCGAGGGTCGGTGTAACGCGACGCAGGAAAAACCCGAGGACCGGGTTCACGAGGGTATCTAGCTGCAAGTCAATCTCGCCATAGAATTTCCGTGATATCGGACGAGTCAGGGAGTGCAAACAGCCGGCGCTAGTTGGCATAACAGACGCAAGCCTTGAAAATAGAGGCATGGTTTTTTGAATTGTGCTTAGAGTCGAGACGTTGAATATGTATGGATGAATGCTCACTCGATCCATGGTATGGAAGAAAGCCTCTCATTCCCTACTTGCTTCGAGAGATATATTCAACAACCCAACTCAGCCGGTAGATGAAAGAAGCCAGCCAAAGCCGATGCTGACCTGTTAGCAGTGGTCCAATCGCAATAATGGTCCGTAAATCAGGCGAGGCCAAGACGCTTGCGTGGTAATCCTGTGATGGAGAACGAAAGCGGTCGACGTTCCGCATGGCGTAGTAGGCGTGACGATGAAAATCTTTGTGTTTAATCTGTGATACCAAGCCAGCGACCTGTGGCTCAAGACTTGCTGGGACACAAGGTTGGTTGGCAAGATTGCACAAACTGTGTTTGTATTTACCGGGGCATCACCGAGCTCTCATTCATCCAACAGACTGGTAGCCCTCGATGGACAAGTGGAGACAGCAATATGCAGCGGTCGAGTCAGTGGGGGCGGTCATGGTGCCATGGGCCCATGATTATATAACAGATGAGTGCAGCACATCCCCAGTATGTACTACCAACAGCAGGAAGCGTGTTTCAGATGCGAGGAGTAAGGGCCCGATATCGTGGCAAACGACCTCGTGGGAATAACCCTGCTGTTGGTGACGAGCTGTGCAAGCCATGTTACGTTTGCTCATACTTGGAAGGGTTAGAGGGGTAATATGGGATGCCAAGATAGCGGTGCACAAAGAGGCGCTTGGAGGAGAGGTGATGCTGGCGTTAGTAGACTAGAAAGGCAGCGATGCTATCGTCAGACTGCCTAGACGTACGCACATCTCTCGGTGGGTTAGCTGCAACGAGGGCACATGGCAAGGCCCTGGTTGTGTCCGAGCGCATGCAGTTGGGCACTTTGACATGCATTGCAGCAACAGGCGAGAAACAGGGAAGCAACGTCATTGCCCAGATGCGTGTAGGTAGTTGGTCGAGGGTAGCGAGTACCATGGTGGAAGCGCTGGAGGCTAATGCCCTGCATTTGGGTCATGGGCGGCTTACACACAGCCCCCGAAAGGCCGCTAAGGATCGGGCTGGGTCGAAAGCAGTGGGCAATGCGGCATCAGCTTTCTAAGAATACATAGAAGCCAGGCTGACCATTTTCTAGTTGGAGGGCCCTGACTGGGGCCGTGGGCGCAGAAGAGGGCATGAGTGTGGTCACGGAGCAGCAGCGCAATCATGGTGCAGACGAGGGCGTCATTTGATAGGATGAGGGGCAGCAGCGCGGTGCGAGGGCAGCTGAGGGTAGATGAGAAGGTAGATGAGAAGGTAGATGAGAAGCGGTATGGAAGCATGTGGTCAGAGTGTAAATAGAGAGGATGCGGGGAGGGTAGGTGAGAGAGAGAGAGATGTGCAGATGAGCAAGTCAGCCTCATGGGACGGAAGGAGCGACGGGCGGAAGTTGTTGCGCTGTTCCCGATGCGGCGGAATACAAACAGAATGACGCAGCGCGCCGTGCCAGGCAGGCACGCTGGCGGGCGCGGAAGGCGCCACTGGGTGGGTGTGATCTTGTCAGCTACGGCGGCGGAGGGCGGCGAAGGCGGCGGCGGCGACGACGACAACAGCAATGCGCACAGCGGTAGAGAGAAAGAGGCGGGTGGGTGCAACAAAGTCGGTGGAGCAGTAGCAGCAGTAGCAGTGCCGTGGTTGTAATTGTAGGAGCCGTTGTGGTGCCTGGCAGCATAGGCAGATGGGCAGGGGTGGCAGCGATTGGCCCGTCTGCAAGCCACACCAGAAATAGACACCTGGGCTCGCTAAACGGGTGGCAGCGGAGCCCACGGCTCACCACACTCCAACAGGGGACAAATGCCCTTTGGTGGTGCATGTCTGCCCTCATCACCACCACCACCACCACCGCTTCCACAAGGCCGCCGGGGGCCAGCTTGGGGCTTCTCCCGGGCATTGGTTGCCATGGCCTCCACTCAGCGAAGCCGGCGCCCTGGCAGATGGTGCGCAGTTAGAAGGCCCCCGGATTTGCTGCTGATGCTCACCCACGCGCTGGGCCGCATCTAAACATGTGTGTATGTACGCATGTGTATCATCGTCAGTCTCATCGCCGCCTTGAGCCCCGCCATGCTGCTATTGCTGCTGCCACTACTGCTGCTGCCGCCGCCGCCGTTGTTGCTGCCACTTACTACTGCTGCTACTGCTACGCCCGGTTCATGCCTACACCTCGCCGTATCTTCTCGCCATATGCCCTGTCCTCCCTCCCCCCCATATTGCCCAAGTGTCCGCCATCTCGTCTTGTTTTTCCTTTGCATCTGATTATACCTGCCCTCTGCCCTGCCCTCCCACGCCCCGCACGTCCTGTCTCGACGCTCTGGCCTAGGCCTTCCGCTTCCCCAGTTCCTGCTATTGCAGACGTCTCAAAGCCTCGCCCCGCCCATCACACATAGTCTGCACGACGCTTCATTCTTCCTACCATCTATCCATCGTCGTCTCTGCAATCTGCAGGCCACGTCGGTCTCAGTCGTCTCGGCTCATCCGGCCTGCCCACTACTGGCTGAAGATATCCACCACTGACAGGCAGCCATCCAGCTAAGCTGACTGCCAACTCCGCGGTGCTGCGCCATCAGAGGCCTCCCACCCGAGCCTCACCGCACGGCATCCAGCCGCCCGCTTCCTGGCCCCGTTTGCATCTTCGCATACCGGCCAAGCAACCGTCGGGCCTTGCGCGACCATCCTCAGTCCTCATCTCGCCAGACCATACACGCCCGCCCGCTAGTCTACCACCTCAACGGGTCCCGTAAGCACCATACACTTAACCACACTTGCACACCAAAAAACTCTCACTGTCCTTTCGCTTTTTTCCCTGCAGTTACGCCTACCATCTGTACTCTTACCTCTGGCCAATCCCGTCCTCTTCCGTTGCCTTGGGTCACTTGTTCGCCTCCCCCATATACTACCATTACTGCCTAGTATCGACTGTCGCCTACACCCACGGTCAAAGCGTTATACCTCTGCACGACCCTCTACTTCCCGCACGGCAAGGCTGTCCACTCTCGTCCATATTGGCCAGCGTTTGGTCCCTGTCTCTACTCCTTTGTTGATCATGTAAGTTGGCCCATCAGTCACATGGAATTGCGGGTCGCAATGTGCGACATTTCGTAACAAGTCACTCACTTTCATCTTAGCACCTGGCTTCTGCTCTGAATCAATTTCCATTGCTTCTGGGCCGCCACTGTTCGCTTCCCAGCTTCGCCGACGTAAAGTTGCTATTGTCTGACCTACCATCGGCCAAGAGCTGGCGTTCTAGTGTTTGACACGGGCGCTCAAAGTCATCCTAACTCCCGTATGAATCCCGCTCCTGAACACTCCGTTTGCCCGTCCCCAAGTAGGCCACCCCTATCACCTCTGCTACTGAAGAGGCCCACCAACTTTGTCTCGAACCCTCCCGTTCTTCGCACTAAAACACCAGACTTGCAAATTTTGCTACAAAACACCGAAATCCACCAAACTGGCCTGCACTGTCTCTGCAAGCTATCAGGTGAGTACTTCACTGCTTCCAGCTACTCACACAGGGGCACGACTACAAGTCTCGGACCCCTCTATCTGCTGCCTGCATCCTAGACCCCCACCCCCCCCCTAGGCTGTCTGCTAACTTCAACGCAGCTTTCGCCTGACAGCGCCTTCAGGCCACATTTTGTGGGCACTGATAAGAAATTTAAAACATTGCGCAGCGTGGGTCCTTGTGGCTGGACTCGGGCTGTGGGCGCTGTACAAAGTGCAAAATCACTGTCCATGTCAGGATACGACAAACCCCATCAATATGTGTATGGTGAGTGATCTTTACCTCATCTGACGAATGTGGAAGGGGCACCTGCCAATGATGGGTCGGATGAACCCGGCACTTGGCCACGTGCGAACGATGAACATGTTTGACTGACCACCTCTACCCAGATGCCCAAAGCACCAGATCAAATCAGGCTGCAAACTACCCTGGCATCATACAGCCTGCATTTGGTCCCCAGTATACGGGTGCGTCCGCGGGACTGACCCATGAGCCTTCGAGTGCAGACATGGCCTACCTGCCTAGCTCAACCTACGAGTCACGCGGTGCGGCCAACCATCGCTCCGATCCAGCATTTATCGATGCAGCAGTTCGTCATCCCGCCTCCCTCACAGTTACTGAAACGGAAATCACCGAACAAATTACTCCTGCCCAAGGCACTGCTGGATCTACCGTAACGCTGCAACTCCGGACGAATTACGATCTCGAAGCACATCACTGCGCTTTCACACTCATGTTTGGCGACGAAAAGTGCGTTGGCGCACTCCAAAAGGTCGAGTACGACGACCATGACCAGTGGTACAACTATGTCCTCAACGTCGAGGTGCCCCCATTCCCACTCACAAACACCTGGGATCCCACCATGATGTTGAAACTGCAGATCGAGGACAAGATGGGCCGCCCACGAATCGAAACAAACGCAGGCAAATTCACTTACACCGACATGTCGCCAAATCTAGCCTACCAGCCTTCGTCCGACTTCTCCAGGAAGCGAAGGTATTCCAATGAGCTCAACGACGATCAGAGTTACCAAAATACCAGCAATGTTGGAAAGCGCGCAAAGTTCACTCGATTCCCCAAACCATCTGCAGCATCTGGGGCCTATTCTGGCGTGGAGGCTTCACCGCTGCAGAGCCATATTCCACTTTCCAGTCCATATGGTTCGAGCAATGGTTACGACGCATCCAAGCAAACAGCCTATGGCCAGGAATTCCCCCAGAAAGGCCTCTACGCAGTGCCATCGGGCATGAGTATGGGCCATGGTGACTACAAGTCGTCGCCAATGTCTCTAAACATGCAGTCTTATGGCTCCTACAGCTCTCCTGTACATGGTGCTCGGTCCAGTGCATCGACCGTAGCCCCTGTGCTTCCCTCGCCATCCGCAATCGCAGCGCCAGTTCTTGTTCGCGCAACACATCTTGCGCAAGCAAGCGGTAGCAGCTCTTCCACTCAGCCTTTCAACCCCTATTCCATGTATCAGTCCAAAGCGGTTCTCAAGATTGACGGAGATCTCGATAAGATGAGCGATGACTGGACTCTAGAAGAGCTTGATGCAAAGAGGCGGCTTGTTGAGTTCAAAAGGTCGCAGCAGGGAAGTACCATAACTACCTCCTTCGCGCCTGTTACACTGGAAACCCGAAAGGCTCGAAGCATCTGCGTGAGCTGTATCTGGTGGGAAGAAAAGGACGAACACTTCATCACCAGTGTAGACACAATATACCTGCTCGAGCAGCTTGTCAACGTGCGCTTTACCGTCGAGGAGAAGAATCGCATTCGTCGTAATCTTGAAGGCTTTCGACCACTGACTGTTTCCAAAGCAAAGCAAGACAGCGAGGATTTCTTCAAGGTGATCATGGGGTTTCCCAACCCCAAACCTCGCAATATCGAGAAGGATGTGAAGGTGTTCCCGTGGAAGATTCTCTCCCATGCACTAAAGAAGATAATAAGCAAATATGTACGTCTCCTCTCCCACGCACGGCTACAGGACTTGAAGCTAATTATCCTCAGTCTGCCAGTTATTCATCGACGGCTGGCGTCGGATCACTACCCCTCGCATCAACAACATCAACATACGCCCCAAGCGCCGCGTCGCAGGCAACAATGGAGACCCATCGGAACACGTCCACACAAGCGGTGACTGCATCGATTGCGTCAACAGTCTACAGCCCTCATATGCCATCTTCTAGTCTATCCCCCCACCAAAAAATGGCAGCAGGCCTCGAAGGGTCAGCAGGACATGGCATGCCGGTCGCTCAAAGGACGCCTCCAGGGCAAGGCATGACTCAGTGGGGCGCTTCCACCCACCAGGTGTCGCCCTACCAAACAGCCCTCACACATGGAACGCGAGGATCCTGGGACTACAGCTATCTCAATGCTTCGGGCGTTGCGGAGATGCCGACTATTGCGCACGCCATGCAAATACCACGCCCGGACGCAATCAGCGAGCTCAGCCACATGCCGACCAACAGCGCTTACCAGCAGTATGGCGAGAGCACAACGAGGGTGTAGAGAAGAAAAGATTGAGCGGCAAGGTAACGCAGAGTTACAGCCAGGACTACGCGTAGTGGGTCTAAGATTGACGTCGGGTGATCAGCCAATGTCCGCATGATCCATTGCAGACTAGCCAGATCGGGGTCCCGTCCCAATAGTCCTCCACACCACGCGTCGTCAGACTTCCCTCACACAATTCTGCCTACCTATGCAGGCCCACCATCTACTCTGGATTTATTTTCCTACAATATTCCGCGACTTCATCAGGCGTTCAAGGACGGGTGGTTTTTGTTTTCTCTGCATTTTCTCGGCTTAGACGCATCATACCCCAGGACCACATGGCGTTTACGGGCTCTCCTTTCTGCCTTTTTTTCTCATTACCCAGTTTCTGTCTATCTACATGCTAGGCAGCTATGCACGCATACACAGCCTCTTTCGCCTCCTGCGATTTACCGTTGATCATGCGGCTGGCGCGATCTAGGCAAACGACACACCATCACGAACTGCATTTCAAGGCTAGGGAGAAACAAGTTTCCGACTTTTTGCATCACCGAGGCGTTCTTCTATTTTTTGCTGCTGTTTACCATACCCCAGTTGTTTTAATATTTGTCTTTACTTCCCAAATCCATCCATCCACCATGTTTTCCTGGTCTTCACCACCGACACATCCTTTCACTTTATCGCATCATCACTTAGAACTTGAATCATCTTTTTTTTGTACACGGCCCCTTTCACAATATACACTTACTCCTACCCTTTCCCCAATCCAGGGAGGCTTGCATTAGACACAAAGGCGCAAACGGGGGATTGGCGGGGCGGGCGGGATCTTCCTTTCCATACTTACTATCTCTTGGCGCGAACCTAGCACACACACATCCTTGTCCAACTATCGGCGTTGATCTTTCTACTTACTACTACTATCGCTTCTTGGTTTTTTTTTATCTGAGATTCCCACCGGAGTTTTTTTTTTTGGGGGGGGGGGGGCGGTAGTGTACTGACCGGGTTCGAATATTTTGTCACACCACAACTGTAATGTCAACATCATGTATGCTTATACCCACCACACCGCTAAACAACTGTTTTATCTCTTCATCACTCGGAACATAAGTGCCAAATCAACTCTAACAACCTTTTCTATTCCTAATTATGTGTATTTTTCCACGTAAGCAAAATGTGAAAATACCGGAGTTCGCATTCAATAAGCATACACGCGTAAGCTCCGGCACTTTTCCCACTTCTGTACTCGTCTCCGCCACTTTCACCTGTACCCGTCTCCGGTTTTTTCTTGACTCGGCTCCCCGTCCGTTCAAAACCCGTGTTCGCCAAGGAACTATCGCCACTCACATGTGCCGTCCGCTATCTTAACTAACTCCCCCCCCCCCGCGTACATACATGTGTGTACAAGAATACATCACATGAGTACCACCCACATAAGTGAAGAGTCATCCTTACCGTTGTCGCTTTCAACATGAGCGGGGTGAGTGACTACGCGCGGTCAGTTGACACACACGACATAGTAACATGACATGACAATGAGGAGACGAAATGAAAGGAAGAAAAAGAAAAAGAAAAACAACAACAACAAATATATACACCATCTCACACATCTTCACCAAACCACAAAACTAAACGAGTTTCTTTTTTTTGTATATACGTAGTAGAATGGCATCGTTTACATTAGTTACACTCCATACATACATACTCTCGTTTCCATGTTCATATTTTAAAGGGGCTAGTTGTACATAGACTCGACTTACTATGTACATACATACATACATATACAAAAACTACTTCAAAGTCATGTGACCAAAAAGTTCCAACTACAAAATACTTCCCGCATCTAACTACTCATTTTCCCCTGGTACTATAAATAACGGTTACGATGGGTGATAATGGCAAGGATTACGCAGGAAAGCGTGTGTGAGCCGATACACACACATGTTTGGGATTTTACAAATAGACAATTACCCTGCTAATACCGATACCCAAAATGTGATGCAAAGAGCGCTTAAAAAACAGAGACACCAAGTTATTATAGTCGAGTCGAAATATCATAGTAAAGAAGAGTAGGGTATATTCTGATTTTCGTCTACAGAAAAAAAATCGGCGTGGCCAGCAAAAAGAAAAGCAACTCATTATCTACCGTTTCGGGCATTTCATCTCATTCTCCCATCGTTTTTTTGTTCTTCTCTTTCATACTCATTCGCCGCCTACCCATGCACCGCTCGTACTTCTCCCACGGTCAAAACGCATCATTGTTGGTGCGCTGTGACGTAGAAAAAGGAGCTGCTGTGGGCGAATCATTACCACATACCAAGGGCTGGAAAAAAACAACCAAAAAAGACACAAACTCAGCAGCCTGAGAGTGGACCTCCTCCCACACACAAGACACACAGCTAGCCGCTTGGCTAGGGTTGCCAGTGCAGCAAAAGGGTATAATGCAAACCAATCAACCAACCTAATACTATCCCGAATTCATTCCATCATTTGATTCCGTTGCGTTTCATTCTGATCAAAAGGCATCAAGACATTTATTTCTTGCCCTTCTTCTTGTTCTTCTTCTTCTTGGAGCCGCCGGGTGTCTGTTCGCCAGTCGCCTCGCCATCGTCGTCCTTATCATCTGGGTTAGGTGTCGAGGGAGTTTCAGGTTCCTTGGGGGAACCGGGTTCTGAGGGTACTTCGACTTCAGTCTCCTTGATGTCGTCAGTAGCGGGGTCATCAGCGGCAACGGGTGCCTCTTCCTTGACGGGCTCAGCTTCCTTAGCCTCGGCCTTCTCGACAACCTCAGCACTGGCGGTCTTGAGCTCCTCCTGGGCGGCCTTTGCTTTCTCGAGTTGCTCCTTGACAGATGCTAGCTCAGCCTTGACTTCGTCGTGCTCCTTCTTCAGGGCTTCCGAGTCGGATTGCAGAGCAGTGGTCTTCTCCTCGTTCTCCTTCAGGGTGGCCTGGACAGATTCGAGGGACTTCTTGGCATCGGCAGCTTCAGCCTGTGCGGCTTCGAGGTCCTTGGTGGCAGTCTCAGAGGCCTTGGTGGAATCGTCAAGCTTAGCCTGAAGGGCAGTGAGTTCAGACTCCTTGGCCTTGGCAGCCTCAACGGCAGATTCGAGCTCAGCAATCTTGGTGTCGTTGGCCTTGATCTTCTCTTCCAGCTCATTCTTCTCGGTAGTCGATTTCTCAGCAGATGCCTTGAGGTCGGCAATCTCCGTCTCAAGAGCCTCTGCCTTGGAAGAACCTTCGGAGGCCTTTGCAGCGCTCTCCTTGGCCTCGGCCTCAGCCTGCTTAGATGCCTTGAGCTCCTCCTCCACAGCCTCCTTTGCCTTCTCCGCGGCGGCGAGATCCTTCTCAAGAGAAGAGACCTTTTCGTTGCCAGATGACTGTGCAGCCTCGAGAGCCTCGGAGTGCTCCGACTCCTTAGCAGCAAGCTTAGCCTCAAGGTCGGCAACCTTGCTGGCTTCAGCCTTGGCCTCAGCAAGTTCCTTCTCAAGTGCGGCAATCTTGTCGTTGCTGGAGGATTCGGCGGCCTTGACGGATTCCGAGTGCTCAGCCTCCTTAGCCTCAAGCTGGCTAGTCTTCTCCTTTAGGGATGCTTCTAGCTCGCTGATGGTGGTACGAAGGTTCTCAGTCTCCTGCTTGGTTGATTCGGTAGCCTTGGTGGCCTCGTCCTTTGCAGCGATGGCAGCCTCAAGATCAGCCTTGGCGGAAGCAAGTTCCTCGTCCTTCTTGGAGGCAGCAGCCTCGAGGTCAGCCTTTGCGGCGGTGACCGTCTCTTCCTTTGCGGCGGTGGCAGCTTCGAGGTCGGCCTTGGCAGAAGCGATTTCCTTATCCTTTGCAGCGATGGCAGCTTCAAGATCAGCCTTGGCGGAAGCAAGTTCCTCGTCCTTCTTGGAGGCAGCAGTCTCGAGATCAGCCTTTGCGGTCGTAGCAGCCTCGAGGTCGGCCTTTGCAGAAGCGATTTCCTTGTCCTTTGCAGCGGTAGCAGCCTCAAGGTCAGCCTTTGCAGAGGCAAGCTCCTTTTCCAACTCAGCAACCTTGCCAGCATCAGCGGACTTGGACTCCAACTCGGCCTTTTGAGCGGTGAGGTTCTCTTGGGCCTCCTTCAGGCTCGCTTCCAACTCAGCAATCTTTGCGCTCGAAGACTCGGTAGCCTTAGTAGTCTCGCCCTTGGCGGCTTCGAGTTCAGATTCCTTAGCAGCCAAGCTATCCTTGGCCTCCTTGAGCGAGGCCTCGAGGTCAGAGACGGTCTCTTGGAGACCCTCAGCATCGCCCTTGGATGACTCAACGGCCTTGCTTGCCTCTTCCTTCGCTGCAGTCAGCTCAGACTCCTTGGCGGCAAGGCTGTCCTGGGCTTCCTTCAACGAACCCTCAAGCTCGGTGACCTTTGTGGCAGAAGCCTCGGAGGCCTTGCTAGTCTCCTCCTTCGCAGCCTTCAGCTCAGCCTCGAGCTTCTCAACCTTCTCGCGAAGCTCCTCAGCCTCCTTCTTGGCAGCGGCGGTCTGCTCGTCGGAAGAACCCTTAGCACTCTCAATCTCAGCCTCGAGCTTGCTAACGGTGCTCTGAAGTCCAGCAACCTCCTCCTTGGCAGAACCGATAGCCTTGGATGCATCACCCTTGGCGGTCTCAAGCTCAGCATCCTTTGCGGAAAGGCTTTCCTGAGCTTCCTTGAGAGAAGCCTCGAGTTCGGCAATCTTAGCAGTGAGGGAGTCGACGTTGGTCTTGGCCTCCTCAGCAGCCTTGACCGCAGCCTCCTTCTCGGAAGCAAGAGAAGATGATGATGCCTCAAGTTCGGATGTCTTAGCGGCCAGGCTGTCTTGTACTTCCTTCAACGACTTCTCGAGAGCAGAGACCTTCTCGGCAAGCTCCTCAGAGTCACCCTTGGACAAGTCGGCAGACTTGAGCTTCTCCTGCAAATCGCTAATCTCAGTCTTCAAGCTGTCGACCTCGGTTTTGGAAGATTCGGTAAGAGACGCAACCTGCTCGGTGGCAGCAGCGTGCTCCTTGGTCTTAGCCTCCAGGTCAGAAGCCTTTTGGTCAAGGGTGTCCTTGGCCTCCTTAAGAGAAGCCTGTAGTTCAGCAATGGTACTGCGAAGACCTTCAGCCTCGGCCTTGGAAGCCTTCTCTGCATCAGCGTCCTGGCTACCACGGGTAGCAAGCTCGTCGGAGAGCTTGCTGTGTGCAGCTTCGAGTTCAGCGTGCTTTGACTTGAGCTCCTCCAGCCCAGAGAGCTCTGACCTCAAGACGGCGACCTCGGCGGCAAGCTCCTCAACCTTTGTCTTCTGAGCGTCCCGGTCGGAAGCAAGAGCATCGAGCTCAGACTTGGCGACAGTGTCGGCATTCTTGCTCTTGAGCTCCTCGATGGTGGCGAGAGCCTCAGCAAGCTCCTTCTCAGAGCTGCTCTTTGCGGCAGTCGCCTCCTCCAACTGTGCCTTGACAGAAGCAAGCTCAGCCTCCTTGGCCTCAAGCTCTGCCGAGTTATCAACAGGCTCGGAAGTGGCGGTGGCTGGCTGCTGGCTATCAATCTGAGCCTTGAGCTTCTCAATCTCTGCCTTGTATGACTCAATGGACTTCTCGAGATCGGAAACGGTGGCACGGAGGGTCTCAACCTCCTGGTTCACGTCGGCAATCTTCGCCTTGAACTCGGTCTCGCACTCTTCGCGGACCGTGTTCCTCTCCTTGGCCTTGGCTTCGCGTACTTGCTGTACAACAACGCTGACCATGTGCTCCTCGAGTTCCTTCTTGTCTTGTTGCAGCGTCTGCTCACGCGACTCAAACTCCTTTTCGCGCTCCTTGTGATCCTCCTCTAGACTTCGCACATGCTCGTCTTGTGTGGCGGCAATGCGCTGTGCCTCGTCGAGGTCATTTTCGGCACGGGCAAGCTTCTTCTTCAGCTTCGAGATTTGTGTCTCGAGGCTGTCAGAATCATCTGGTGAAGGAGGTGATGGAGAGTCTGCTGATGGGGGAGAGCCGTAGGTCAGTATGTTGCTCGGAAGTAGTGTATTTAGTGGAGAACCTCTTGCATGGAGGGAGATTGGATAGTGGGGGATCGCTGGAGAATGTGTTATTGGGCAGGTGGGGTGGGGGAGGGGGAGGGGGGGACATGTGCAAATTACGTACCGGCCTCGTCTTCACTTAACCGTCTGGGCGCCTCGCGGGGCGTCTCAGGCGGAGTATCTACGCCATTGTCGTAGGTCCTCACATCTTCTTTGCTTGGTGGTGTAGCCTCAGTGGTGGTGACTGGAGGAGCAACGGGAGCGGGCACTGGAGCGCCCGCGCCAAAGAAGTAGTTGTACGCTCTCTTCATACTGCTGGTTCGCTTGGGGATGCCGGGTCGGGTTGAGCTTATCGACTTGCGTCCGCGGCGGTCCTCTTGCTGGCTTCCTTCTGCAGTGACCGTGACGGGTACCAGAGGCTCAGCGTTCCTGTCCCTCTTTGTGCTCAATGTTCGGGCTGGGAGGAGCCGTCTGCTAAACTTTTGAGAGCCGGATTGGATATCGGCGAGGATCTGCTTCTGCTCTTTTGAAGAGACCCTATGAGAGAGTGTTAGTGTGTTGGTCTGGTGGAGGAGAGGTAGGTAAGAGGTAACAAGCTAGTTGACATGTGACAGTGGTGCAAGTCAACAATGGGAGTGGGGGTGGGGCAGGTTATGAAGGGAACCGGAAAAAAAAATAGGTGACGGGTTGATGGTGCAACAAAGAGGATGTCAAAGGGTTGAGGGTAGAGCTTCTTACCGAAAGCGACTGGGATATGGGAAAAAGAAAAGGAAAACAAGCCGTTGGTGGTGCAGCCCACTGACTTCTTGGGAGGCAGGTGGGTGGTGGTGGAGGGGAAGGAGGGGTGTGTGAGAGGGATGGAGGGGAGGAGGAGGAAGAGGGAAGGGCGTTGACGGGGCAGCGACTCACTCATAGCTTTCTTTCCTGCCCCAGCTCGGCATGATTCACGCGCTTTCTTGTGCTATCAGTCGGTCGGGTTTGGTCGGGGTGGGCTTTTGATGAAGCGCCACTAGGACGGCAGATTTAGGGCAATCCAATCAAGGGAACGTCCGTCGACAGGAAAATTTTGTTGCCCTTTCTGAATGTGGGCGGGCCGTCAAGACTCCTCACCGCACGGTACGAAATGGAGCTTTACTTATGTACAAGCACAGCAACACGTTGGATCCTGCATGCAAGCCCTGGTGGGCAGTCGGGCGCTAAGAGTCGGCTACGAGGATGATACAGAGCAGGTGGGAGGGGCGAGCCAGTCATATACGATGCTATTGCTCTTAGCAGCTGTGACACGGCCTTGCTCTTCACACGCTTTCATGCGCGCCCAAAGCCAAAGCCAAAGCCGCCAGACACGAAAAAGCCCATGCCAGGCCATGCCAGGCCATGGCATGACGGGCGGTCGGTCACAGTCCGCGCGCGCCCGCCACCCACGCGGCTCCACACCCCTGCCCTTTCTTACCGCCTCGACTAACAACCCTGCCACCACCACTAACTAGCACTCCTGCTGCCATCACCGCTGCCGCCGCCCCATCTTCAACAACGCCCCATCCACCACTCACACTGGCCATTGACGTCGACCATGGTAGGGCCACGGACAGATGCTGCTGTCATATCTCTCTTGTTTCTTTGTTTCCTTGACGGTCAGTCGAAGAGTCTGCCTGGACATCACGACACACCAGGACACCACTGGCCTTTTGTACTCGCCCCCCGCCTCTCTTCCTCACCAGCACACCAAGTCCCCACCACTGCTCGCGGGTACCCCCATACGCCAATCACAGCTCTGCACGTCAGTACCACCACGTCGCGTCCAAGAACGACGTGCTTTGCACACCTTCGGACCACCATCGACCTTTTCTCTCGCACGCGCGGTAGCCTGCACGACACACTCGTCTCGACTCGCACACTCTCCCACTCTGCCCCTCCAACCCCTCCAATTGCCCCCTCCCCCCCTCCCAAACTGTTGACCGAGCGCTCGCATCGCCCGCACAAGGCCGCAGCACGGACACGACGCGTGAAAATGTGACTCGGCATGATGCGAACGCCAATGGCCTGCAGGAACACACGGCCTTTTTTTGTTGTGATTTTTTGCTCTGCTGGATCCTAAGAACGAAGCACAGTTTCACTTTCGTTTAGTTACCTGTTGTCCCTCAAAGCATGTGAATATGTACTTTCCTCTTTTCTTGTTTGTTTTTCTACACAGCTCAAAGGTCCGCGGCAACTAAACAACAAAGCGTGACAGTAGCACCCTGTATCATGCACACCCCCTTCTGTCTGCCAGCCAACCAAGCAGACCAAAAAACAGGGCTACGGGGCTTACTTCCCTCTTTTTCTCCCTCTTGCCTCGTCCAAATGACAGGAAGAGAAAAACTAAGCGGTCGATGCGTTGATGCGTTGTTCGGGCGATCCGCACCATCAGCATCATTTTTCCACTCGCCCAAAGCGCCCTAGCCTCGTCCTGTTGCACGCCTCGCCTCGCCCCCATGTCACCATCACGCTCGTGATCGCCTTGATGGTCAAAAGACAACTTTGGCCTCGCCCAAATGCCCCAAAGCCTAAAAGCCTAAAAGCTTAATTCTATCCTCTCCAACCAACCACCCTCATGCATAAAAAAAAATGAACAACAAAAAAAAACTCGAGCAAAATAGAACTCCATAATTAAGAAATCGCAACATCAAGACATGCAATAGAAAAAAATCTTTCATTCGTATCCCTCACCGCATCACAGCACACCATCTCAACACCCCCCTCCAAACAGCCACACCACTCTCGGCCTTTTTTCCCTTCCTTTTTACTGTCCCCTTCTTTCCCTTCGCAAAGTAATACCCTGCATATCCGCACCCGCCGCCTCGCCCGTTGAACAAGCGCCGCCTAACCCCCCCCCCCCCCCCGCGCCAACCAAAACCCAACCCAGCCACTCAACACAACACATCCTACCTTACAGCAGCAACTCTTGCGCCCCCCCTCCAAATCCCTCCACCGCCTCTTCCTAATCACACAAGATCGTCACTTACTTGCATTTAGCACCATCATCGACAACGCCGGGCTGATACTGCAGATAGAAAAAACCCCGCAAGAGAAGGAAATTTAAACACCGCCGTAGTTCAAGTTACCTCGCCATCGGCGGTACATACATAGTGTAGTGTAATGTAATGTAGACGAAGACGTAGAGAGGTAGGTAGGTGCTTTCCCCCCCCCCAATCGACACCGCTAAGTTAGCAAAAGACCGAGCGGGCTTGGCATGTGTGTGGGACGGGATAGGCCGCGAAAAGGAATAGATGAGAGGGGGGTAAAAAAAATTAGTGTAATAATATGTAGTTACTCGGCAAAGTTTTTAGCTCGTACGACTAGGGCTTTTGATGGATTGGGGGTTTAGTACGTATCAGTCAATGTACGTAGGGGGAGGGGGGAGGGGGGGACGGGAGCTTGAAAGGTAAAGCAAGCCTCGTATTGGATGTAAGCCAGCACCCTCGTCGACATTTATTCCGTCTGCATGTGCTTGGTGTACGTATAAACCGTATACCATAGGCGAACATGGGCACGCAAACAATTTGCAATGCTTCACTACTAGTGAACAGCTGACATGAACTCAATTTGAAGCTTTACAAACGCCCTAAACTATGCTATTACTACTACCTAAACCTTGCTGGGCCGTCCGTCGAGGAGGATGAGGAATAGAAAGAGAGAGAAATAAACACATGTATACTATGCAAACCAAGGAACCTCGCTAAGACTCATTGTCACACGCCGGGGAGTGAAGGGAAAGAAAGAAACAAAGAAACACACACACAAGATAACTCCATCCAGAAGGGCCCACCCGCTAAACCACTATAATTGACGGCCAATGCACACACCCCCTCAATTCATGCCGACCGTTGACGTCTTGAGCGAGCTGCTGCTGCTGATGCTGCTGCAAGACCCGATCGCCAGCTCCGCCTGGCCGCGCTCGACTCAGCACCAGGCTGCGCACCGTCGTCGCCAGAGGAGCAAACAGGCGGTGGAGCACCTCCACTTGCACACGTGGGAGCGCCACTGGGCGATCGCCCCGTCTGCACTTGTGCGCCCTCAGACTGCGAACGGCGGTGCAAGACGTGCAGCGAAACCATTTGCTGGCCACGTCCAGGGTTGGCGATGGCCCTGGTCCTCGACATGATTTCTCGACTGAGGGCACTCTCGCCCCACGCATATCTGCCAGTATCGCTCCGCCGGTTTCTTCTCGCCTCGCGGAAAACCTCTCTGCTCCTCCTCAAGTGATTCCGTCCTGTGCATGAAACAAAAAAAGAGTGTCAGCTGATATTGATAAAAATACAAACTGCTCATTCAAACTAATGTGGAGATCCAAACAGACCCCTTCGTATCCGGTCGCTGATGCCACCATTGCCCGAGCCTGCATCTCCGGTATTAGACGAGTTGCCCTGGTTAGAGGATTGTGGACCTTGGGATGCTGCAGGCTCATCGTGGGGGTCAGTCGACGTGCCCGAACCCGCAGTGAACGCACCAGGCATCTGGGACGTGGGATCATCGTGAGCGCCTGATGAAGCAGGGTTGCCAGACTGGTCCTGACCACCCTTGGTAATGCCCTTTCGGCAATGCGGGCAGGTATCGTGCTCTAGCAGCCATGCCGATATGCATGGGTGATGGAACCAATGCTTGCACGGCAGCATTGTCACCTGTTCGCCGATATTGACCTCGTCCATGCATATGCTGCATTCAGCCTTGTGCTCCTCGCCTAGCATCTCTTCGGTAACTTCTTTCCGGGGCAGGGCGTCGATATCAGCCTGAGTGGCGGGGCCGGGTGCATTGCTGGTTGCCGTCTGTTCCATGAGCTGAGAGACGATGCGATCGAGACCTTCTTGTGAATACACAAAGTCTCCCATGTTGCCAGCTCCAGGAACCATCATGCCCATTGCAGAGAACAAGTTGAGGATGGGGTTGCCCATGACCCGTTCTCCAGGGCCATGAGCGTGCTCTCCACTAAAAGTGCCCTGGGCTCCGCCTTGAGGAAAGCCATGGGTGTGAACATGGCCAGGAGGGGCACCAAACGCGGCAAAGAGCCCTGTCATAACGCTATCCACCTTATTAGCAACCGCATCGTTATGGATTAGTATGCTTACTTACTTTGTTAGCTCGTCCACAGGCTCGGCCCGTCCAGCGCCGTTTCCACCGGGAGGAAAGAGACGAACTCCGCCGTGATATGTGAATCTTCCTCCCCGGATCTGAGGGCCTCCTTCTGTACCGTCATTCTGTGATTCGTGGAAGGCAGACCGATTCTGATTGGTCCCCGAGCCGGAAAAGAGGCCCTCACCCTGGCCTTGCCCCGGAGTCTGTTGCTGGCCTTGCTGACCCTGCGGCCGTAGGCCGGCGCCAGTCAAGCCGTTCAGCATGGCCATGAAGCCGCCTATGGATCCTGGTGGCATGCCTCCGTGGGGAGACACGGATCTGGTGACAGTAGCTTGTAGGTTGTAGCGTCCGGGGGCAGTCTGTACGAATCGAAAATTGCTAATGTCGTCCTCCTCTGGATCGTCATTCTGCGACGAACCATGTTGCGGATTGCGAGGTTGGCCTTGTCCAAAACCAGGTATAGAGTCGGACTCGTCGCCGTCGTGTCCAAACATGTTACTGTCTCGGGGGTCATTGTTCTCTTCAATCTGGTCCGGATTAGCAAAAGTCGCCTCATGTCCGCTTCATCTCGTGTGGTGAGCTGGAAGCTGGGTCTGACGGCCTCGACTCACGATCTCTGTGAAGTCTGAGCCGCATTCTGGGCATGACAGACCATGTTCATCCCGGTACCATTCATCGGCACACTCGTGACAAAACATCATGTCGCGGTGGCCGGGCCGCTGGGCTTGTGATTGCACATTCTCACCACTTGACTGGTTCATGATAGCGTGCGTGTCGCGTAGGGTAATATATAGGGTGGTAGGGCGTAGTCGAAAGTTTGGTGCAGGTAATCCAGCCAGGAAGCAACGCTCTAGTGGCAGAGAGGCACAAATGTCGGTCGGAAGCTACCGCCCAAGTCAATCAATTCGGAGCCCTGTCATGCGCCGTCGGCAGTTATGCTGTCCAAGTGGGGACGCCCTGCAGATGCAGACAGGTACAGAGTATGACTGTGAAGTCCAGAAGCGCTGAGTAGGTCGTGGACTGGCGGAGAAGAAATGTCAAGAAGAAGCGTGCGGCGAGATTTGGCGATTTGGTGCGGACGATGTCAGATGGAAATGACGTTGCTATCGGGGCAGGGATCCAACAAATGTCCCGCCGCGGGCGTCTAAGACGATCGGAACTCGTCTAACGGGCGCTTGAGGAAAACCGGATTTGATTGAGCGTAGTCGAGAAGTAAGAGGAAGCTCGGGTCGGCTGGCGTGATTTTGTTCACGATGTGATTGATTGCCCGGTTGTGACTCTACGGCATGTTTGTTCCATTGACTGTCCCTTGGGTTCTTTCGTGTTCCATTGGCTTCCAGCTTTGTCCACCCGTTGAAGCAGTCACATTCAGACGAGGCAGCAGACGCAGACATTTGCCAGTCTTTGTCCGTAGTCACAGATGCAAATTACAGGGTTTTTGTATTACAAGTATTCAAATGCCGTGTTGTTTGACCATCGTGGCCAGAGGTATAGAGCCCACCAACGCCTTTCCAAGTGTTTGTATCATCGACGCGCACGAATGCCCAACTTTTTTACCGTTCCTCCGTCTTGATCTGAACTGAGAAACGCTGTTGGTCATACTTCACGATCTGCGCGGGCCACCCCTTAGTAGCAAACTCCCCACCACGCCCGCAGCAACAACAATTCCTCCCACAATCGCGGCGCCTACAAGCCCTTCCTTCGCAACTTTCTCGTCGATGAGACTCTTCAGGCTCCCAGCCTGCAAGTTTGCAGGCTCCAGCTCCAGCAAGAGCTCGTTGTATCGTCGGGCCTCAGCGTAATTGCCGAGCTTGTAGTTGCCCAGAGCGAGGTAGTAGAGGCATTCGCGCCGACGCTCGCGCGAGTTGCGAAAGATCTCAGAGAGCAAGCGCACGCCCTCTTGTTGGTCGGGACGAGAGGTTGACTTGATCAAGCCCTAAAGTATCATGAGTTTGGTTGTCGCATATGGCGTTGCGCACATGTGGAGGTACAGCCGTGAGAGCGGGGAAGTCGTACCCATGCGTAGTTGAACTTTGTCTGCAATCCAACATATTCGCCCTCTTTTTCGTACTGTGCGCGAAGGACTTGCAGCTCTTCAGGCTTAAGGGGCGACTCTACGTCGGCAGCATCTAAGGGGAATGAGCGTTCGTCGGCCCAGAAGTCGTTATCCCACTCACACGGTAATGACGGCGGCATGGCGACAGCTGGTGTTCTGGGAAAACCAAGGCAAAATGCGTCTTCCAAAAGACCTATGTAAGTGGATATCGTAGGGTTACTTGTTAGAAGTTTTCGGCGTCAGGAAGCGGGTGGTCTCGTGAAAGCTGCAGGTGCCTAAGCCGAGCAGGCGATCTTTTACCGTGACGTACGCCTCGGATCCTGCAAACGCCACAAATGCGCCACACCAACGTCTCACGCCACAGTCACAGGCTCCGTTGCCATGCACGCGCTGCTAGCACGGACCATCCAAACAAGAACATCAACACCACGCCTCCCTCTCAATACACATGATCACCAGTCTGCCACACCACAACCAAGCATACATTTTATCAAGCTCAGATACCCACACATTTGTCACGCGATTCAAGTACACTATTTCACAATGCTTCTCGACGAAGATCCCGCTGCTGTAAGGAGCATCCCGTCTATGCGATTGGCGCACAGCGACTAACACACCAGCAGCTCATCGCGCAATGCACCTCACACTTCAAAATTGGCAATGATAAAACCTCACTTCACCGTATCAACGAATCCCTCAGCACCCTAAGCGAGTTTCGCACACAGCACTTGCGCTCCATCCAGTCCTCTCTAAGTGCGCTGAACCGCACTCACCAAACACTCTCCGCAAACCACAACCACACCCTATCACAGCACAACCCCACCAATCATGCGGCAGAGATCTTAAGGCTCGATACTGAGAAGTTTAAGATTGCGAAGCAAGCCAGTGATTTGGAAATTGAGGGAGAGAGGCTACAGAGTGACCTGGTAAGACTGGGAAATGTAGCCAGCGAGCTAGAAGAAGAGGGTGTTGAAGGGGGTGTCGAGCCCAAGACAGGTGAAGATGCTACTGTGTAAGTTGAAAACTCTTCTAGGTGACAAGGCCAGTGCTAACAGATATTTCAGATTAAAACTCAAACTCTACCGTACCCTCGGCATCGACGTCGAAGCTGACCCGACGACTGGGGAATACAATAAGGCTGTCATTCGCAATGCAGCAAAGGGAGATGTTCATGTTGTCAACATTGACCCCAAGTTTTCGAGGCACTTTTACACCAACTACTTCTGGCGAACACTTTGAGTTGGCGCGGGAGTATTTGTATTCTCATTGGGCGCAAATCATGGTTTAGATGATGGCGTCGAGGTCTAGGGCATGGCGTTTATTCACGATTTGATTATGAGATACCTATTTGTTTATGGCGTTGGACTTCTCCTGGATCAATAGCACAGTTGACATGTTGTGTCTCATAAGCGGATATAACGCCGGAGTAGATGACCTTGTATTACACAATTCCACATCATACAAGACAGCAGCACAAATCATAAGATTGAGCACGAGCTTTATCTACCGCATGCATTTGTGCGATGGACATCATTTTAGCGGATGTGGAAGCCTACTCGAGAAACCATGTTGCGGGGACGACACAACATTGGAAAATGACCCCTCTCAATCATTTCTAACAACATGTACTCCCCTCATGCTCCGTTATACATTAGTTCATAATTCTGCTGTCCAACGCCGATGATGGATAAACAAAGGCGTAAAAAATATACACAGCGGTTGTCTCAACTCCATAAAACTATACTGCTAATATACAATAAACTTAACCAATCTTAGTGGTTTTTTGACAGAGGGATGCTCAACGAATAGGCATGACCATTGGCTCTCTTTCCTTATTCCCAATATCATAGATGCCACGATTCGTCCTGCAGATCCACTCACATCACCCACGTACCAAGCGTGATAACTGAACTTTCCAAAAAAAAAAACAATCTTGCCAACACCCAAGCTATTCTTACAAACATCCCGAATCCCAGCCCTAGTAATCCTTTTCCTGCGTAGTACCAACCCTACACATCTACTCCACTTCAACACCCTTTTCCCTGAAATCCTTCATCCAAAAACGCCCATCCTCCCGCTTTATGACACTCTTCGACTCTGTGAAATCCCTGCGATCCTTATGCACCCCGATATTTCGGAAATTCAATATCCCCACTCTTCTGTAGTGATCACGCTCAGGTTTGAGCACCAGCATGATACCACGATACTTTCGTTTTTGGTGTCGATTGATAAGCACGGCTACGCTGTCTTTGAGGATATCGGCGCTGGCAGCTTTGTCGTCGAGATGCACAGTTGCGACGATATCGATGTTGGTGGAGTATGGGAAAACGGCGTGAGGGCCTTTATGCGAAGGTGTGTATCCGGGCATGTGGGTTTTGATCCAAGACTGGTTGACAATGTATGGTGCCAGTTGCACGGTGAGCCCCGTGATGCGTATGCGTTTTGACAAGGGAGTGTGTAATGAGCCGTCTCTTGGGTTGAAACATTGATCCATATTCAGCCATTCCCCTGCTTTCGATTTGGCCTCGATGACGCTGGCGTCGGGGTAGTAGTGGTCGTAGTTGTGGAATATCTTTGAGCCTTGCCAGCCGACCCAGGACCAAGATGGAAAGTCTGGGCGTCGGATACCGGGCTCGTCGGATTGCCAGTAGAGGTTCATGCCGTGTGATGTTGGTGGTCGTCGACCTGCTTCCCACCAGGATGTTGGGATGATGGGAAGACCCCAGTTGTGTGGTATGGAAAGACCTCTCAGGATTCCTTGGCATGCGTTGAGAGCATCGGACTGGTATGATAGATCTCTGCTGTTATACTCGTTCAAAAGGTCGTCTAGCTTGACTCGTCCTTTTCGTTCGTTCGTCGACATTGGACAGATGCCGTCCATCGCTGCGCCGGCAAGCCCCTGGTGTTGTCCTGTTGATCTGGTTGGGATATCTCTGCGAATTGATTCTTGACAGTACATGTCATCGCATACGTAAACGGCCTCGTTTTCAGTGAAGATCAATTTTCTCCTTGATAGATATCCTTCTTGGAATGTCCAGCCGCGAGTGGCCCATGTCGATCGCAAAATCGCCTCGTCGGTATGATAGGTTTTGATCAGCTCAATGTTGCCTAAGCGAAGACTCTGTTGCTTGTTGCGAACTCTCGATCCAATACCAGGAAGACCTTTCGACGGATTCGGATCTGTGGCGACTATTGTCAACTGCGCCTGCGCGTAGATACTGTCCATCATGTTGATCTGTATGCCCTTTTCGGCTTCATCATTTTGGTTGATACACTATTGACGTTATTATCCTGTTCAGAATATCGGAAATCATGTTGGACGGTCTTACGTATCGGTCAACCCAGAGGTACTCAAAACCTAGCATATTGCACGCTGCTATTGAATCTTCAATAGTCTTTGGGTATTGTCCCTCCTTATGCTCCTCGGCAGCAGCCGCGCCCCAAACATATGATAACGCAACGTATTGGCAAACATCGTGGCGCACTGGAACGATTCGCTTCGTGCGACAGTCAATGACCTTGAACCCTGGAACACACTCCTTACCCCTTGGCCCTGCTAGATCGTGCTTGTGAGATGTTTTGCATATCTGGAGCCATTCGCGGACCAGCTGGATGTTGATGCGGTCAACGTCGACGTGGCGAGGCGCTAACTCATCATGATTCGACCATGGATGTAGGACACCAAAGTTCTCAGAACACCATACTTGTGTCTTTTGAACATAGCCAGAGAGCTGGAACTGTGGGCTGTGATCGTAGCCAGGAGAATGGTGGCTACTAGTCGCTTGACCAGGAAGCATGTTGCACAGGCACCTGACTCCTAGAAAACATCGCTCTAGTTTCACGCCCTCCGGCCAAATAGAACTGATGTATTTGCACACAACGCAGGATGATCTTGCGAGTGTTTCACGAGTCTCGTGGATTTCGTACAGTACGCGGACTCCAGCTGGACCCGGAAGCTGGGAGCTGGCGAGCTGATCCCAAGGTACGCTTTGGCAGTTTTTGCAGAGCGGACTACTGGGATTGAATTTTGGTGGATGTACGGCAAGCTTTTCTCGGCTGGAAATTTCTTGTAGGCGCCTTATTCGGCGTTGTTGCTCGGCCTGGTGGTCACTCGTCAACTCAACATCTTGAAGGATTATCATCGTCACACATACTTCTGGTAAAAGCCCATTTATGGTCTCGGTCACTTTCATATCAGACCATGGTACTAAGTTCCGCGAACTCAGAGTGTGGTGTTCACTCGCACCAGCTGTGGCGTCTTGGTGGTGCTCTCTCCCATGCGTCGTTCTAGTAAACATGTCGAATTATTAGCAGAAAAAGTGGAAACTAAGTTGAAACTAAAATCAACATTGTATATTGATTTCTCATGGAAGTTATAGTTTCCGGTGGATCAGACATACTACTGTAGTATAGCGATACAAAATCCAAGCGCTTAAAGAGAGGCCATGTTACAGGCCCGCCCGGCGGCAAAATCGTCGATCAGCAACACTGCACATCTAAGCGCGCGATAACCTGACACATGAAGGATCAGAAATTTGAAATTACACCGGTTTGGGTAAATGGTATTGCGATAGCGGATTTTGATGCCTTGAGACGCGTATATTCAAGGCTATTTTGGATTGCGATCTTATGCGTTTTTAACAAAAGCACCTCATGATAGATGGTGCCCCTGGTTTACTTGGAGACGCGCGGTACCAGCCCGCCCAACCATCCCCAACACAATCTCCAAAATCTTCCAAACCCCCCCCCAGACAAGATCTTCCAATACCATCCTCTCTCAATAACCAACCCTCACCCTCTCCTACACTAACCCTTACAAACCCCCCCACCACCACTCCCCAACCCCATATCTCCACACCCCCCAAAAGCCATCCGCTCCACAACACCAGCACATGATCTCCACTCTAAAATTGCATCGTGAGCAGAGAATGAGGAGAGAATGAGTTCCGAAATGGCCTTTTTATGTCCATTCCATCATGATTTGAAAAAGGACCCAGTCGTCCTTGAGGTTCAGTTCACGAGCTTCACTTCTCAGAAATGCTGTGGAAAAAAAAACAAGTGCTCAAGAGGTGTGTGGACGTGTTAACCCTTGAAAGATACGGCGGTGTTCCAAGGTACCGTAAGGGAATTCACTACAAATAGGTAAAGTTAAACTCGCTGTTTAGGATTTGAAATTTTGAAACTTACTTAGATTTTGTCTTTGATCGTATTCTTAGCTAACTTTTTATTGTGCATATGCCATGATTTTGCCTAACTTACGACTCTTGGTTTTGGGTTATTATAGGTGACCATGACACGGATGGTAATTTGCGGCGAGGAGAGAACATCTAAGCAGCAAGTAACCTGTACGCATAGTAAGGAAAATGAGTCTAATGACTAGACTATGTCACAATAACCTACATTTGCTGCGGCGATGAACATTATATGTGCACACAAGCCCATAATGACACAGCTTCAAGGCTTTGGTGAACCAAGTGAACTTTGACGGGAATCTATTTCTATCTTCTACGAGTAAGGTACTCGCAAGATGCATTCGTGAACATTTTGATAACCAGACGCCGAGCATGAACCATAATCCGTGGACTAGTACCGCATTATCATCATGAAAAGGCCGACCAACTGAGCCGACATGCACCATGAACCACATGAACCGAACCAAAGAAAAACGACTTTTATACCGGCGGCATGATCTAGTCGTCCTCGTCAGAGAAGACCTCCTCACCGCGCTTGCGACGGGCCATCCTCTCCTTCTTCTTCTTGCGCATCTCGCTTGAGCTGAGCTTGACCTTCTTCTTGGCAGTTTCGATCTTATTACCTGTAAAAAGGTTAGCGAGAAGTCTAATAAACTAATAGTTAGGATGTCTATACCCATGGCGTCGTAGCTAACAGCATCTGGGTCCTCATCCTTAGCCAGACGTGGTCCAGCACCTTGTCCCTGAACCCAGTTGTGACCGGAGGGGGTCATGCGTCCGTCCATGACAGCCCAGACTTCCTCGGTAAGGTCGGCAGTAAACTCGGCAGAGTGAGTGATGATGATGACACCACCCTCAAAGGTCTTGATAGCCTTGGACAGGGCACCAAGGGAGTCACGGTCGAGGTAGTTAGTAGGCTCGTCGAGGACGATCAAATGGGGGCGTTGCCATGAGCAGGCGGCAAGGACGACCTTGACACGCTGACCACCAGACAGACCACGCATACGAGAGTGAGAAACAAGCTCAGCGTCGAGACCGAAGTTGGCGCAGTGAGCCTCAATCTCCTTACGGACCAGAGGACGGAACTGACCGCTGGCAAGAGCCTCCTTCTGGTCAACCTCGGCTACCATCTTGGCGTGGGAAGCCATGATCTCGCTACGGGGAATCCAGGCGTTGTCGGCAGTCATCATGGGTGTCCAGCGCTCGTTCTTCATGCCGATGTTCTCACCAAGAGCGAACGAACACTCGTACTCGTAAGAGTTCTTGAACTTTCTGCGGGAGTGGATACCAATGACACGGCGCTCGGTACCGTCGATCTTGTAGATCTTGTCCATGGCCTTCTCGTCCTCCTCGGTGACGATCTTGTTGGCACGATCCATGGTCTCACGGTCCTCACCAGTCTGGAAACGCCATTGGATGTACTCGGAAGGAGTCTTGTCGAGGTGGTGGTCAATGTGGGCGAAAGCGTGCTGCTTGATGTAGGCGATACGGATGTTCTCGTGGTGGTAGATCTCACCCTTGGTTGGGACAAGCTCACCAGTCAAGACGTTGACAAGGGTGGACTTTCCGGCACCGTTGGGACCAATGACGGCAATACGGGATCCGAGAGAGCACTGGAAGGTAATGTCCTCAATCTGAGGCTTGGAGGTACCCTCGTACTGGAAGCTCATGTTGGTGGCACGGAGAATAGCCTTGGCCTTGGTCTTGACACCCTCGAGGAAACCGGGCTCGGGGAACTTGAACTCCATGTCGGAAGCGGACAGCTCGTGGTAGGACTTGGCAGAGGGCACACGCTTGACGAAGTCATCGAGGTTACCCTTGTAACGCTTAAGCTTGAAGCGCTCGTAGTGGATGACGTGCTGAATGACGTTGTTCAAGAACTTGCTGTCGTGGGAAATGACAATGGATGTGCAAGGAGAGCTGGTGAGGTAGTCCTCGAGCCACTTGACGTTCTTGACGTCCAAGTGGTTGGTGGGCTCGTCGAGCAGAAGAATATCGGGCTCCTCGAAGACGGCACGAGCGAGAGCAAGCTTCATTTTCCATCCACCAGAGAGGGCACCAATGGGTCCGTTGTACATGGCATCGGTGAAGCCGAACTCGTTGAGGGTCTTGGTGACCTCCTCCTCGGGCTTCTCGATACCGACAGACTTGAGCTTGTTCATGGTCCAGCCGATGACAGTCATCTCAGTGTCAGCAGAGTCCAAGTCGTGCTCGACGTACACAGTCTTGACCTCGTTCTGCTTGGGGAAACCCTCGACTTGCTCGTTGTTGATTGCGCGCATGAGGGTAGTCTTTCCGGAACCGTTGGGTCCGAGAAGACCGTAACGCTGACCACGCTTCAGACGAAGGTGAGTCTGGTTAAGCAGAATCTTAGCACCGTAGGCCAAGTTGAATGTGCAGTTGCAGAGATCCTCGCCCTCCTCCTCATCGGGCTCGGTGGCCTCCTCAGCGGCGGCACCAGGGAGAGACCTCTTGCGGAGGTTCTCAGTGACGTCCTTGGAGGATTCGTCGCCGACAAGGACGGCAACGAAGGGACCGGCGTTTGCCTGCCAGTTAAGAGGCTCGTAGTCCTTCTCGTCAATCAACTGGCCACCAATGGCACCAATGTAGTTGACGACAGGCTCGAAGCGCTCGTCAACCTTGACCGAGGAAGGAAGGACAGCCTTGAGGTGACCGGCGATGGTGGCAATGTCACCAGACTTCTCGAGCTCGGGGATCTTGCCATTCTGGACAGCACCGACACGGATGAGAGTGTCGAGACCCTGGCGGGTCTTCTCACGGGCCTCGGGATCAGCCAAGTTGTCGTAGTTCTTCTCAAGCGCGGGCATGAGACGGGGCAAGAAAGCAGCGACAATCTGGGGGTCCTCGACAAGCTTGCACATGTTGTCGATGATGACGGCAGACTTTCGCTTGATGGCAGTCTCACGCTCAACGAGACCACGCTCGAGAAGGGGAACCATGATGGCGAGAGTGGGCTCGTGGACGTCAGTGACGAAAGTGGTGGCACCGAGCAAGTGAACGGTCTCGGGGACGTTCTCAGGCTTAGCAATACACTTGATAAGCTCGGGAATGAAGCGCTCGATATCCTTGTTGGAGATCAAGGAGCAGAGAGTCTCCATGGTGACGTAGGCAGCCTTCTTGACTTCAGGCTTGGTATCCCACATGGCTCCAGAGATGACGGGGATCAGGTCTGGGACACGGAAGGCCATCTGTGCGGGGGCGCTCTTGGTGAGGACCTCAATGCACTTAAGGTCACACATCTTCTCGGGCCATTTTTGTGCGGTCTCGAGGGACTTGATGATGTGAGGGATGATGGCCTTGACGGCGTTGGGGTTGGCGGCAGAGACGATGGCCTCGGAGGCAGTCTGGGCGGCAACCTTGACGGCAGTGATCTTGTCACCGACAGCGGCCAGCACGTCGGGGAGGAGGGAAACGAGGTAGGGCTCGACAGCGGCGGAGACGTGGGCGTGCTGGGCGATAGCACGGATGGCGTCAAGGGCACGCTCACGGGCGACAGCATCCTTCTTGCTGGCGAGTTGCTTCTTGAGCACCGAGACAGCGCTGGGAAAGATTGTTAGCAACAGTGCTACTGGAAGTCAGGGGCACATCAGATGGTGTCGACATACTGGGTGGGAGCGTCAGCCTCCTCGATGTCACCGTTGATGAAGGTGGCAATGGCCTGGGCAGAGGCGTTGATCTCGTCCTGTGCCTTTGAGACGGTCAACTTCTGCATCATCTCCTCGAGCGCCTTGAACGCCTTGGAGTTCTCGGACTTGACGTCCTTGGCAGTGTGCGAAGCAGCAGGCGCCATTGTGGTGAAGGGTGGAGGTGTGTGTAGGAGAAGTGAGAGACGAGGGGCGGGTGGTCCTTATATGGACTTAGGCGGCGGGGCCCAAAAAAACTTTTGGCGCGGAAAAGATAGAGTGAATCTATCCGTGGGTATCAAACACAGCCGCGAGAAAATCGGCTCGCAACCTCTATGCGATCCTGACGCAGCGACACAAAGAAGAGAAAGTACTTTGGGTCAGCCCAGAGGGAGAGTGAGTGGAGAGAGGGCGTAAAAAGTATGCCTGTGGAGGGGCTTTTTATCTGTTGGTGGGCTGTCTCGCTTTGAGAAATTTTTGGCCAGGGCGTAAGCCGATAAGATTAGCGTGTCCTGACCCCTGCACACAGCAACCCGACGCCTTTGCATTCGCCTTCGCCCTCGTTCGTCCAAAAGCCCCCATGATTTCATCGGAAAATCCTGGAAACGAACGAATACAGAGTTTTTTTTTCACTCTCGCCGGAATTTCTCCAGTTCTTTGCCACTGACAGCCATCCGCCCCTCTCTTTCTGCTGGTGATGGCGGGGCAGAAAGGCCTTGCCGCCGCTGCGTGTCCTGCAGCAGCCCACGTTGCAAAAGGCCATCATCTATTTGTGGCGAAGTCTGGTACAGGCATGCTGACCGCCTTCTCAGGACAAGCCCTGCTTAGGGACGTGGCTTCGAGCGGTTGAGAGCCGCCAGGCCTGCAGCACCGAAGATCAGGGACTCGCACTAAAACACGCACCGCTCCAGCCTCCAGAAAGTACACATTTCAAAATCTCTCTCTTCACTGCTACCCGTGTAGAGTGTTGTGCTCTCGGGATCTGTCGTCTCAACGGCCTTCGCTATTGTGTCCAGTACTGCCGCGGATAGCGGGACTACCTCTTCTTCTGGGCCCAGTCTACCGGCGGTCCCTTTCTGATACGGTAGGCTTGCCGGTTGCTGTTCGTCCTGCCCTGCCAAGTTATCGCGCTACGGCCAACCGCGGACGCTCCAGACTACCTCACCGATACCTCCAAGTTGAAACCACGCTGTCGTCTTCAAACCCAAAATTCGCCACATCCTTTAACCGTATTACCAAGCAGATGCCTTGCTAATCCCCCCTTGAGTCCCACACGGAATACCGGTTGTTCATCGTGCTTGCTAGAGTCTTCGCGTAGTCTTGATATTTTCGCCACCGCATTGTTAATGCAACTGTACGTTGTAGGATCGACATGCCAGCCCGGCAACTGAGTCTGCATGGGAATAGCCCCTGCATATTACTTCTTCTAGACTCCAAGTTCCGCCTGTTAGCTTGTCCCTTAGTTACATGCACATATCTAGCACTGTTGCCATCTATATGTCTCCCTCCACTCCCAGCAACATGCCAAATCATCCTACATAAGTGCAAGACGTCTCGTCGGTCATGACGCTCGGATCATACCCCGCGCCTTATCGATACCCCGGATTTCTGTAGTTTTGCACTTTACAGCACGCTTATATCAATTCGCTTCGTGAGCAGCGACCTGGCCGTGCTGGCCAAAAGTGATGCACATTGTAAATCGCATATTTCAATCACATTTCACAAAACATTATGCAGTGGATGAAGAAGAGAAATTGAATTACATTACTAGCGGCAATGCTGCTGCTGCTCTTGAATTTGAATTTGAATGTGGATTTATACAGAACACCCTTGCACCCACACCTTCAACCATGTATCATTAACCAGAATTGTTTTGACCCTGAGACTCCTCCCGCTCAGGTTTTTCTGCAAGCATATTCATGTCGTTCACAATGCTTCTGATGAGCGAGGGATCTTTTGGGGACCCCTGCGAGTAACGGGCGAGAGAATCGAGGGTTTTTTTGGACATCCTCATTAACCGGCTGCATGGATTCTCTGTATGTTGGGTGTTTGGGGTGTTGGCGATGATGCGCACTTTTTCATTTTGTTCTTTTGATTGCGACGGGCCTTCTTTTTCTTTTGATTTTCCTGAACATACGTATGAGCTATGTGAAATCACGTGGAAAGGTATAGCAACTTACCATTGTGTGTGTGTGGTGCGTGTGCGGTGCATGTGCGTATGCGTGAAAAAAAAGAGTTTTTGGGAGGATTACGGAGTTGGAGGAGAGAGGGCAGGGCAGTCTATATATACCTGTGGGAAAAGCGTTTGTGCCAAGCATCACGATATAGAGACGGTGAAGGTGAGAGTGAGCTCATGGCAGATTTCAACTCTGACTACGTTGGTAATGGCGATTGCGCTGAAACAATGTATAAACCAGTTATTGACATAAAAATAATACCGAAACCACCAACAAATTTGAGAACAAACAAGTTGATATGCAAATGTACTGGAGTTGGTGACTAGAGCGGAGTCACTGACTCTGGTACATTCGCATATCAATCCATATAACGTCTAGCACTAAGTCACGAGACGCACCCCGTCTCGAGACAATGTGTAGGTACTTTAAGGATAAGCGGCTTTTATATCCTAGGCGTATGGAAATCTTCTAGAGTCTACTAGTAATAGTTTTCTAAGCCTACAACAGCAAGCTCTCGTCCTAATAAATACAAAAAAATACGCAGTGTTAATGCACTCGCGCCTAATCGTAAGGAGCCTACTTCTTAAGCGATAATCTAGACCTACGCCGTACAACACCACCATCAATTCTGCCAGCCACTTAACCTTGTAGGATACTTTTTCTAGGTTTCCAAAGGTTATTACAGTAAATCGAATGTCAACACTAGCCCTATGGCGATTATAGGGCGCATATTTACGCGGTATTGCCATCCTGGTCGGTACTTTGGATCAAGCCGCTTCTATTTCTAGTTAGTATAACACTAACCCCAAACGTCTTTCTCCGTGTACTGTATTTTATGTCAGCAGCCGTTTGTGGCTTTTCAAGCCTATGGCTGTGCTGACACTATCATATAATGAGCTGGCCAACATCCATACCTCGTAACCTCTGTACGAAGCTGCCTGGAGTGCGTTGCCGTACTCTCCGCCCTGCATGTTGACCTCGGCGCCCTTCTCAAATGGTGAAACACGTTAGATTATGACTGGCTGAGTACAGCATCGCTGAGTTAGGCGACGTGGTATGCTTTAATTAGCGGTGCAGGCTGAGGAGTTTAGTGCAGTGACGTTTCTAGTCAAGCCACGACTTACCCCGCCCTGATAAGAGATAGGTATCGACTGCCTTTTGCACTCTTTTATATCAAGTTTAATTACCTTAGACATTCATTGCAATACAATACTTCATTTAATATATCCTTATTAGTACACTTCGAGTTCAAACCTGCTTTGAAGATACCCAACTATTCAACTCGGCGATGTCAGCCCCCCTGACTACAAGAAACCCCAATCATGAAATCTTGTACAAAGCCCTCTCGGAAAGATTGAAAAACTTGGAGCTTGATAGACGAATTGAAGATGCGAAAGAGACTTCTGATTTCTGGAGTCAAATTCCGGTTGAAGCTGAATATCCATACGCACTCCTGGATTCATGCATGAAGGGAGAATACGACCATGTAAAAAGATACCTCCAGGAAACAAAAAATCCAGGACTATTCCTTAATTGGGTCGACAAGAACGGAAACACGGCTCTTATCTGTGCTGCATCAAGAGGAATACCCCAAATAGTTGAATTGCTTCTAGAATTTGGCGCAGACATCGACGCCCAAAACCATCATGGAAGAACGGCTCTTATGGAGGCTGTTTTGTGGGGCCATCTGGCAAGCGTCAACTACATCCTAGACAAAGGTGCTGCCTGGCTAGAGGACAATGATGGAAACAGTGCTGTTGACTTATCCAAAATGAATGAACGGAACGAACGAGAAAGATGGGAGCGTCTTCAAAATGAGGACATCCAACGACCATATGTATCCAAGAACTGTCGACAGCAAATAGCCGATTTGTTGGAGCCTGGGGAGCCGGAGCTACTGAAAGCCTTTTCTACACAAATCGAAGTTGCGAAAATCTGCGCCAATGCATTGGTATTCAACAAAGCTCAGGCCTGGTCGATATCTACGCAACCCGGAATTGAATGCAATCATCTGGCTGACATGGTCTTCGAGGTTCCTACAAGGGGATGGGATAACATGATGAGCCATACGATTTGGAAAGATATTACTCTACCAGCCCATATTACAACATTAAAAAGTTTACTGGATCCAACTCTTTCAGGAGCATCATGTCATCATTTCGATAATGCAATATTGTCGATCTGCCCGGTAGATAGGAACATTCTAAGACTTACTGCACATGTCAAGGAATTTCTACTACCGAAATCGACGAAAGCTATGGCTTGCATTAAGCTCGATGGGCACCCTACTCAGTACACTATGAGCGGAACTTCACACTCGACTTTGGGGGCCGGAGTTATCACTAATAAAAATTGGACTATAGAAGTTATGCGTATCGCGAGTCACATAGGACACGATTTTGGATCTAATCCCCGAGGTTGGGCGTGTCACGCGGAACTACAAGCCATAGCGGGGTATATCCATTGGTATCTGCCTCAGCTTGGAATTCCGTGGGACAGAATAACAGAGCATTGTTTTTTTCCCTACCCGTATCAAACCAGCATCCGCATGGTGTTGATCCTCGTTAGTCAGGAGATGTGTAGCGTGTGTCAGCCTTTTGTAAAGGCTATCAACGATATCACCTCGCAAAGATTTGGATTTGCTTTTGATGTTAGAGACGGGTCTCCCAATGGACGATATAGTAGAATTGTAAGAAACCACGCGCTATCTAATATCATAGGGACGTCTTCTAGCTTTGTCTGACGGCGGAAGTATGCAGGATTTATAGATAGCTAATAATTTTCGCACATTCAAATCAATTTTAATCAAGCAATGAGCGTACACAGGAAGCTGATTTACTTTAGGGTAACCAAGGAAATACTGAGCATATATGCTGTTATGCCAAATCTGGCAACCCTTTGCTAATTTTACTAGTAGATGATGCCGTACAACTCCAGCCCTAAATCATCTAAACCTAGCTTAGATGTAGGAAAAGATGATATTATACTATAACAAGTGTGGATGAATAAGTATCTAACTATAAGAAAGAGAAAGGTAAGTTTGAATTAAAGATATGTATTGGAAGAATATACAAAACCAGTGCCTAAGAGTTCTGTCTTCCTGCCACAAAATAAGCCTCCCACACATCTTGCACGTAGGTTTTGCAGCTGGTGAAAGTCAAAGTACGGATGGTGTGTCCGGTCAAATGGGGTATCCAGTAACCCAGGGACGGGTGTTAACGTAGTCAGCATCTTGGAGATTCTCATAACTCAGCACTCTGCCGGACCCTTTCGCTAACACATCTGACTTGGTTGATCGCCGAGTCTTAGCGTCGTCATTGATTGCAATTAAGAGCCGAATGTGGTCCTGCTGAAGAGCACCTTTTATAAAGCATAATTGGGCTACTTTAGCAAATTTTAGTAAGTGTTGCTGTAGGCTTTGTTTGCTTGTTTCGTTGAGAGCATAAGCGTCCCTTTGGAGGATTAGATTTTGCAGCGACATAAGGCCTTCTTCTGTTAATACGCTATAAGTAGAGATTGTGTGGGTCTGTAATACTAGCATGTAGTCATATCCCACGAACATTGCGCTATTTCTGTGAAGGCAGTGTTTATCCGGGTATTTTAGTCCACCAAGAGTACTACACCCTGTATGTACAACACATCCCTCAAAGTGACTCAGATGACCCAAGATACACAATGAGCGGGGCACTCATGCAAAACAACCTCATCCAAACACCTTCATTGCAAACCAAATTTCTTGTTACGCATCGCTTATCTCTTGAAGAAATGAGAAAGAAGGAAGACCTGATACCAATGAATGACTCACTGAATGTACCCCACGCAGCTCGATTCCTCTAATCATGTTGCCGTACTGTGCTGTGTTTTCAAGTCATGTGCGTAGATCATCCACGATACGAGACCAAGTCTTGGTAGACGGGCGTCGACGGCTTGGCTTTGGTGCACGTGGAACGTGCCAATGGTCCCGTGCCGGCACCGTAAACCATCGTATGCATGTGCCAAAGCCACCTCTGCTATTGTCCGTCATTGGCTTGCATTGGGGGAACTCTTGGACAGTGATGTCTTAATATAATGCTGTATTTACATCTGATGGGCGGGGACGAACACCGCACACCATGACTAGCAACGGGCCGAACCGCACTTAAGGCATCGCCATATTGACTCGGACCGAAGTCAGAACGAGATGTTTGCCCATCAGGCTGGGTTATCTGGTACCTCAGGATGCAGCAAAGTAGCCATTCATCTCCATGGCAATGACGAGCCGCTCCATGGAGTTTTCCTCTGCCGTGCCCCTTCCCTTGCCATAGCTCTGCTTGCCCGTCAAGCCCCTACACACGCTGAAAAACACGCGTATCTTGCCTCTCAGCTTGGCATAAAGACTCTTGACACTTTCTTCGCTTCCATGGGTCTTTGAATTCTGCATCTTGGAGAAGAGAAGGATGTGCTCGAATATCTCTTCTACAAGCGCCATGATTTTGCGCTGGCGCTTGCGGAGCAAAAGTGCAAAGAGAATACTATCAAGGCATTTTTCGTGGGCATCACGCAACGAGGCAACGCCTTCTGTAACGCGTACGCCCAATTCACCAGCTAAGTCTTCCTGATTAAGACGGGTCTCAACCTTGGAAACGAAGCATTCGTACTCGTTCCACGGTTCAGCAATCCCGGTCTGGAAAACGTAGTTGGTCAGTGCAATCACAAAGTGATATGCTTCCATCCTCAAGTATCGAGAATCGCGATCGGGATATTCGCGCGGCAGATGCGAAACTACAAAGAGCATACGCAACAACCGCAGTAAGAACTTGAAGATATAGTCGTACTTGTCTAGTGCGGTGGTCGTGATGACAAGGTTCAGTGGAGGCGGTGCTACGTATTGTAGTCGTAGAAAATCCAGCGCAGGCAAAGCGTCGGGATCCATGACCTTTTCTTGCTCTGCCTCGGTGAGGTTACGAATGGCAAAGTTGAGCTGCCCCGGGAGTTCGTCATTGTCTCTGTTGTGCAAGTGTGTTTTGGGTGCGGATATCTGGCCGTCTTTTTGTGTGGATTGAAAGAGTGCAGAAGAGTAGTAACTTTCACTCAATACCCCTCTCAATGCCAATCGCAGTTCTGAACTCGCTGGCGGCCACGACTTGCGGGAGCCCAGCTGTAAGCCCATTTGCACTCCACTACGCATTCTTCCTTTATGTCGCTCAGCGCTTTCGCGATTTGGGTCAAAGAGAGCCGTTGCTAACAGTGAAGAAAAGACACCATCACCAAGTAAGTGGTACTGCCGCTGTAAGGACAGATGCAGGCGCAGTTGATGGGAACGGAAGAACAAACGAACTGTGGCTGCGTTCACCAGCTTCGCTTGTGCCCTTATGAGCGGGCGAAAGGACAAGGTGGAGGCTAGAGACATTGGCGGTGAGAATGTGTTGGAGTTTGCGTCGTCTTTCTCGCGAGTCGTGTCAAGAATGCTTTCCATGAGAAGTTGCAACTCATCAGGTAAAGCCTCTGAAGACAGCTCGGGAGTGGCATCCATCATCTGAATAGACTCTTCAAAGTAACGATCAAGATTGTGTGTGTCAACCAAAAGTTCTGCGGCAGGCGCCGGTGTAGATGGGACGGGAAGGGAGTCTACCACGTCTGCGTGACCGGCACCAAAGGCCAGCAGTGCTTGCCTCAGCCTTTCCTCGTAGGCTTTTGCTTTCTCTGCTAATTTCTCCACTTGCTGCCACTGGAAAGCCCACTCCATATCTGGGGGCTGGACAGCCAGTCCATCCAAGCGAGCAAGTGGGTGAAGCGGATGCTGTGTCTTTAGGAAGCGAAGACTGTTTCCAGTCTCGAATATCATATTTCCATCTTCCGGAGATATGAATCTCGGCATCATTTCAGATCTGTATACGTACTCGACCGCCGATGTATCGCCAGCAGTCTCTTCTACCGTTACGAAGCTGTCACGTTGCCAAATGGGCAGGGCTGCCTGCTCTTTTCGTATGCCCATCCATTCGCCAAGCAGCTCCAGGCTCGGTCTGGCTACTTGACAGAGCAACTGACATGACAGCTGGCGGAGTTGATCATCTCCTTCTTCGATTTCCAAAAGACGGTGATGCAGAATCGACGAGAGCTGCTCATTAGTCTTTGCGTGCTTGACAGCATCAACCATGCGCGCAACATGTATTAGAATGCTTCGAGGCTTCGAAAATTGGCGCTGTAGCTGGATCAAAGATCGAATCTTGGAAGACTGTTTTCCCAGGGCATGTTCCAGACTGGCGAGAATGCTTGATACAGACGTAGCCAGGGCAACCTTTGCGGGTATGGATGCAGCAGAAGCAAAAGTACGCTCGGCAAAGGATCGCAGATACAGAAACGTATTGCCGGTATGAGTGAAGTAGGCAATGAAACTCTGGGCAACCTGCAGACTCAGTCCTGACGCTCGCCCTTGAGGGATGGTGGGTTCAAAGGATTTCGATTTAGGATTGAAGCGAAAAAGAATAGACGAGCGGCCCAGTCCAAGGTTCCAGAGCGATTGTAGGAGAATATCGGCTTTGATTATTCTCCCTGCACTTTGATTCTCGTCATCGCGTACCAGCGTGGCATCAAATGCCTCGGGGCCGTGTTCGGTGAGGTATGGTGATGGGGTTTCGATATTCTGCCTCTTCTCAAAAGACTCCCATGTGTAGAACAGGACGTCTTTGTTGGCGGGTCCTTGCTCAAGCGCTATCTGCCAAACATCTTCGTCGGGCTCGAGGGGCGGCGTTTCGATGACGGTGCTGGACTCATCCAGACTCTCCAGATCCGGCAAAGGGCCAAACTCGAATGTGTCGAGGTCTGGCAGTCGTAGTTCATGTTCGAGGTCATGTTTGGGTGCATATGGATGGTCGAAACGGATGGCAGCGACTGGGGCAGGTCAGCAAGACGCGTCTCTATGGAGGGTTTAGGGACGCGACGACTCACTGTCTAGCTGCAACGGGGTGAAGAGCGATGACTCCTCTTTAACGTCAAAAAAGGAAGATTGTTCCCACAGGCGATCGCTACTGAACACATTGTGAATCGAATCGCCCGCTTCCATGGCGGCGGCAAAGTCGAGTAGTCGGATAGGAGGGGTATGACGCTGTTCCTGTCTGGACTGGGGGGCGCTCAGCCCTACGCACCTGCAGCTTCGCGTCGCGTATCCATTTTCCCACGCATTCTCGCTCATCCTTCCACAACCACACCGTCATCGCTATACACTCGCGGGAAATGCCTCCTCGGAAAAAGGCAAAGGCCAGCGCTGCCTCGACCCCACTGGGCGACACCCAGCCAAAGACGCCCCAGGACTCAGGTGCTGTGCAGGCGCAAGATGAGATTCTCAGCGACCCATGGGCCGACGAGCAAGAGACGCAGCTCCTCAAGAGCATGATGAAGTGGAAGCCCACCGGCCTGCACAAGCATTTCCGTATGATTAGTATTCACACCGATATGCGCTCGCATGGCTTCGCGGGAGAGGATGCACCTCACACACGCATCCCCGGCATCTGGAAGAAGCTGTCGCAGTGGTACGACCTGGATGCCCTTGACACGCGCGAGAACGAATTCGCCTTTTCCGACGAGCCAGACCCGCTAGACCCTGACGACGCTGCCAACCTGCCCGAATTCGAACTCCCTGAAGAGGAATTTGGCGAGATGATGTGGCGGAAGCGCTTCCACAGCCCAGACTCGGTCGTAGCTTCATCGCCGCCCATGGTTCCGACAGACGAGTACAAGGACATTTATGCGCCAGGAATTGGCTTGCTCAAATACCTACCCGATGGCGTACGTTCACAAAAGGCGGAGAGCGTAACGGAAGCAACGTCCACACCAAAGAACACCAAAGGCGCACGACCGGCAAGGGCTGCAAAGAGCACAAAGAGCGCCAGGTCTGTAGCTAATGCAGCAAGGAATGCCAAACCGAGAAGCACCGTCTCCGAGTCTGCTGAGGAAGAAGACGATGATGAGGACGAAGAAGAATCCAGCGTTGAGTCTGAAGAAGATAGCGCGCCGACCACACGGAGAACCAATCGCGCAAAGCCCAAGCCTGCGCCAAAGCGAACGAGGAAGAGGTAGATGGGCAGATCAATCATGGGTACGGCGTTTGGAAATTATAAATACCCGCATTCCTCCTAGTCATGACAGCCTTTGCAGGATAGCAGAAGGTGTTTGAATATGAGGAATGCATTCTATTTCATCACAAATTTGGCTCATCGCGATAGCACGCATACGGAGGCTGGCAGGAATGACCTACCATACGAGCTGAAAAGACGTATATCAGAGAATGCCAGCATCCGAGGACGGCAGTGCCGAGTTGTAACGATGACATCGTCACAGCATGGGCGTTTACCGCAGCAATGTCCATTCACGTTTAAGTCTTCGCCAGATCTCGACCCACTATTCCAGGGCAGTTACTATAAAATAGACCACCAACCTCCTTCCTGAATGAGACATCACTGCAGTAGTCTCGCGTTCTACAGCTGGCCCACAAGACGCAAAGATGAACCCACAACGTATTTTAGCAGAAAAGGCGGCATTTATCAAGCAAACATACAGAGCTTGGTTTTGTTACAGCTAATTTGTTAGTTCAAGGTTGTGTTGAAAGGCCGTCTTGGACTGCTAGATCCCAGTTCATGTCCAAGTTCTGAGCCTCAAATGCGTAGCCTGCTTGGCCATATCGATTGATTGTCTGACGAGACTGGCTAAGGGTTTCCAGCCCACAGTTGGGGCAGAGGCATCTTTGTATGCATATGCCGTTCATTCGACGAAACCGGCAATAAAAGATTGTCAGCCAAGATCATCCGTCAATATCGATAGCCAGTCCTATCATACATACATTCTTTCTGAGAAATCAAATAGTAATGTACATCCATGCGTAATAGAATAAATCATGAGTACTTTGACTTCGCAACAACAGTGCGTTCGAGCGCACCTAGATTAGTAGCGTACTTTCCTCAAATAATATACACCAATATCTTGTTGACTCCCTACAACTATGCTAATACAAAAAAATACGTCTGCCTAGGCGCATGACCGTCCGATTTGCGAAGAGCACATTTTCATAGCAAAAGCGAGCCTCGCCCGGCATAGGCCACCGCTGTGCTGATATTGCTATTAGAACCTATAAAGCGGTGCTGCGTAGGTCTGTACGGAGTAAACCTGATAATAATGCTAGTAAGCTACTATTGGCTACGCGCCCATGGGGCTATGCACCTGTGGGGCTATGCATGTAGTGTATGCGCCTGTGTGGCTATGCGGATACTGCTGTCAAGCGCTCCGCGAGTTCTCAAAAGCAGCTTTAGCCAGCGCAAGGCTCAGTTAGTCACTCAACCGCTTTACTTCGCAAAGTCCATTGAAACAAGGCACATCAAGAGCCACTGGGTCTCAAAGTAATGCGATAACCCCCTATCCTCTTCAAGAAACACCATGTCCGTAGGTTTTGGTTTCTCCGTCGGCGACTTCCTCGCAGCGCTCAAGTTGGTCGGCACCGTAATTGACGCCCTTCGTGAAACCTCCCACGCCAGCTCCTCCTTCCGCTCACTACTCAACGAACTCTACGCACTCGAGTCGGTGCTCCTCCGCGTTAAGCGCCTCGATCTCGAAGATCGCCACAATGTTGGAGAACTTGCACTACGACAGGCGGCGTCTCAATGCCAGCGCACGATTGATGCATTCTGGAAGGATATACAAAAGTATCAGCCTCATCTGCAACAAAACGGAACAAACTCGAGGATAAAAGATGGATGGGCAAAAGTCAAATGGGCTGTCTGCAAGAAGAATGATCTAGAGACGTTTCGGGCTCAGATCAGAGGTCATACAAGCAGTATTGAGTTATTGTTGATGACAGTGCAAATGGAAGCAGCGACGATCGATGCACTCAAGCAAGATTCGCATAACAAGCGCTTAGCCAGCAATATGCAGAACTTATCATGTCAAGTAATGGGGAAGCTCACTGCGATTGCTAGCAGTGTTGGGCAGTGTGTCCAGCAAGGAAAGGCACTACTTGAATCCAGCGCCCAGATATTTCAGACCAATCTACGTGTCTTTCAGATGGTGCACGACATTCAGCTATCCATTCTCAGGATTCCAGCGCAAGTCCAGCGCCAAGAGCCGGTGTATCTAATTGACGCTTTTAATAGGGAGAGACCATTCCATCTGGAGTTTGTGAGGTCTGCAGAGGCACTTCTTGCCGTGCTTAAGATCGATATCAAACAATCAGGCTGCGATTCGAATATGATCGATCGAGGAGAATATGTGATTGAAGAGTCAGGAACGCAAAACTTGATTAGTCTTACGGAACCGTGGGATAGTGGCTTCTTTCCTGGACAAAGGGTTGCAATGAGCGTGATTTTCAAGGGGCGAACAACCGCCAAGTCTTTGTGTCCGAGATGTGGCAATGACTGTGAAGGGTCAACCAGTCAGGAGATCACATGGTCAGTTGAAACTATCTTGAAAAGATGCCCCTCACCCATGCTTACCTGCGTAGCGACAAATGTGGTACCATCTTCCGCCGTGTTGAGGAAATTATCAATGAGATACGAGACACGAGTCAACCAGATTATTCCGTTAACGAATTAGACGCCGAAGATTTGCCAGAACAGTCGATCAATGGACCAGCAAGGCCACAGAAGAAGAGGAAACGAGGAAATGACGATGCACTACCAAAAGTCCAAAAATTTCGCCGGATACAACTGCTAATGCGTGACGTTACGCATATTTGCCGCAGATGCAAGAAGGAGTTTAGGCAACGAAGCGACCTCAACAAGCACGAAGAAATGCACTCTTCTCCGGAAAATTTTGGCGTTGTGCATGCTTGCCGCAGCTGCAAAAAGGTGTTCACGCGACCTTGCGACCTCACCGAGCACGAAAGAATTCACTCTCGCCCGTGGAAATGCAGCGAGGAGAATTGCAAGTACTTCGACCTTGGCTGGCCAACGGAGAAGGAACGCGATAGGCATATAAACAACAAGCACTCAGCTGCTCCTGTCCAGTACAAGTGCCTATATCCTCCCTGCACATATGCGTCCAAGAGAGAGTCCAATTGGAAACAGCACATGGAGAAGGCCCATGACTGGGAATACGTTCGCCTGATGAGCAAAGCCTGGAAAACGGTCTAACCAATGAAAATGAGACTTCTCTTCCAGCAACCGACCTATGGCTAAGAACTGTAGATTCAGAGTCGCTGAAGCTCACTGCCTTCGTGTCTACGCCAAGCGGTGTACTTCTTTAGTCCCCTAACGCGCGGCCCGACTTGATTCTCTTCTTACTCTAGATGCAACTAAATGAGGGTTTTGATGAGTGGACAGATGTCACATTTTCAGGACCGACTGGGGATTTCTAGTTGTTCGATACAACACAAGCAAACACCGTGAACTTCGACACTGTAACTCATTTCTTCCAGGGCATGAACTCGTTTGAAGGTCAGTTCAACGACCTTATAGCCGGTTTCGCCGGCCCGCAATAACTGATTGCAGGAGGAGTCGCGACGGAAGACGAAGAGATTGGAGTGGAGCTGCTCTAGGCATCTTTTCCAAACCTAGCTCTATGTAAGCAAGAAGAGATGCCAGCGACGTATCATCAGCTACATAGCAAGTTCTGTTACGGTAGTTGTTTCGTTACGCAAGGATGGACATTGTGTCCATTGTGTAATTTCTCTCAGGCTAAATTTCACCAACAATACGATTTATTGTTTGCGCCTTGTGTTTTGAATGACTGGCTTGAGAGAATGATTGTTGACCCCGAAGAACATGGTGGTATTGGGATTATAGGCAAGCAGGTAGTAATGAGCCAATGACAACGCAGCAATTCATATTACGGGAACTCTTAGCGGTGCCGGCTTTACCTTCCCCCACCGACACGAGCACGATCTCCTAATAAACAAACTATCTGACGCCATCGGATACTACATATATAAAACACGATGCCCCCGAATTACCGCTAGATTCAAACTTCATAACCAAAATTCCTTTCTCAATAGAAATTCAGCAGGAATGCCATCCAAGCTCAGCTATCTGTGGGGCAGAAGTCCGGTAGTAGCCGCCATCAACGCCGATTGGTCAATTGCTCCTGTTATGACACCAAAGGGCGTGCTACGACGCCTGGAATGCAGCTTGCATCAAAACATGCTCGCAAACTGACCAGTCATCATATCATTGACTCACCGTTATTTGGGTATATAGTTCAGACCCGGTAGGTGTTTCAATATCACAAGCAGTATCCTTTGCTACAGAGACTTCACCCAATCATGACGTCAAACGCAAAGTACGGTGTTCCCGACATTAAGACGAAGGACGGCATTGCGTTTGGAAAGGAGCTCCGAGACGAGGCGTTTCTCTTCGACAGGGGATTCCTGAACTTGAATCATGGTATCTCAAGCTATCTAGTCTTAAAGCTCCATCAATCGCGACATCCCTTTAACATATCTCAGGCTCCTTTGGCACATACCCGCGTCCTGTACAGGACAAGTTTCGCGCCTTCCAAGATGCTTCTGAGGCCCGACCCGACCAATTTATCGTCTACGACTATCCCCGGTATCTAGATGAAGCACGGGAAGCCATGGGCAAGCTTCTCAACACACCCTCTTCCACTCTAGTCTTTGTTCCCAATGCCACGACAGGTGTAAACACCGTCCTACGTAATTTGACTTTTACCCCAGGCGACCACATTCTTATTTTTAGTACCATTTACGGTGCCTGTGAGAAGACAGTGGCTTACGTTACTGAGACTACACCCGCCCAGGCTGTCAAGGTGGAGTACACCTTTCCCGTCGAGGACGACTGGCTCGTTACGGAATACGAAAAGAAAGTCAAAGAAGTCGAAGCTAAGGGTGGAAAAGTCAAGATTGCAATCTTCGATACCGTAGTCAGTATGCCTGGCGTACGTCTACCCTTCGAGCGCTTGACAGCCAAGAGTAAAGAGCTGGGTGTGTTGAGCTGTATCGACGGGGCGCACGGTGTCGGACATGTCGAGATTGATTTGGGTACCCTGGATCCCGATTTTTTTGTGAGCAACTGCCACAAGTAAGTTTCCGTATCTTTCCTTCATGCATACGCTAATGCGAGAAACAAGATGGCTTCATGTCCCCCGTGGCTGTGCAATCTTCCATGTCGCACACAGGAACCAAGCCATGATCCGCAGCACTCTGCCCACTTCTCATGGCTTCTTGCCTAAGGGCTCAAAATTCGTCTCGCCGTTTCCCAAGCCCTCTTTTACTAAACCGGGCGCAGAACAAAATACATCCGAGCAATCCGCATCTCTGGGAAACAAATCCGCATTCGTGAATGATGAGAAGCCGGCTTTTATTGCAAACTTCGAGTATGTGGGAACCATTGATTCGAGTCCTTACCTGTGCATTCCCAAGGCGTTGGAATGGCGAGAGACCCTCGGCGGCGAGGCCGTGATCCGCAAGTACTGTCATACACTCGCGCAAGCGGCTGGTCAGCACGTAGCGTCTGTCCTTGGAACCGAAGTACTTGAGAACAGCACAGGTACCATGGGCCAGTGCTGCTTGTCCAACGTCCGGCTGCCTATCTCGCTAGACAAGGTATTCCACACCGCAGCGAATAGTGGCGTCGACAAGGAGGATGTCGGTGTCAAGGTGAGGGACTGGATGAAGAAGCTGAGTAGCGAAGAGTACGATACCTTTATCATGGTGTACTGGTATGCGGGATCCTGGTGGTCACGACTGAGCGCGCAGGTGTACCTCGAGATGAAGGATTTCGAATGGGCAGCTAAGACACTCAAGGAGATGTGCGAGAGGGTTGAGAAAGGCGAGTGGGCAGGAATTAAGGGCAAGTTGTAATGCTGGATAGCGTGAACCCCGCGCCAAACAGCAGTTTCATAGCCGAAGACTAAGTCATGATATTGAGTCATGGTGTACCACCAAATGCCTCTCTTCCTCACCACCGTATCTCCTCACATCTTTCCATGCACTCATGACTCTATTTCATCAATCACTTCTTATCCCAGTATCCCCCAACTCAATCCATCTTCTCCAAGTCCTCTAGACTCAATACCGCGGCTTACCAGCACAAGCACTGAACATCTCACCACAGTCTTTGCACTACCCATCACATGTCAGCAAAACCCTTCATAGCAAGGAAAAAGAGAAAAAAACTGTACCTCATTCCCCTCATGCCGAAACAGATGACACACATGCTCCGCACACGTCTTCTTGCAACCCTCTTGACCCTGTGTATGTCCGTTCTATCCCCAATATGTCATTAGCCTTTCTTCTTCTTTATCTGGATGGGTGCGGGGCATCACTATCGCACCTCAACACAAAAGTTGAAGAGCTGAACGCAAACATCGCAGTTGGCACCGCGCTGCTCAATCGCAGTCGCAGCGACAATGGCGGCAATCAGCACCGCAATGAAGCCGTGTAGACGCATAGTTGCTTGAGGTATAGCCGGTATATGTATGAAGAAGAGTATCGAGATTGATGTGTAAAAGCATTAGAGTCAACCTTGACAGAGCGCAAGATTATATCTCTTAAAAGCGGACGCAGCGGTGAGCTGCGAACCACCGCCGTCCGTTTACACTACACACACACATGCATACCCACGTGAGCGCCGGCGCCGCTCGTCACGCTAGGCAGAGCCCGTCGAGTAAGTGAAAGTCGTTTGTTCGTGCCTCGGGGTGCGTAAACGGAGAGATAGCGTGGGCGCCTGACGATTTCTAGGTCGCTTGTGTGACATTTGCATTCACTTTTTCTTTCCCCCGCCACCACCACCACCCTCAATTTACCCCGCTATATGGTCGAAGGTGCAGGTTGTGGCTTCGACTCTTGTGCATTGTGGTACGAAGGCTGCGCGGGGGAAAGGGTTGCTCGAGGATAGGGTGGTGGGATTGAGAAGTGTCTGGGGGAGACGGTATCGAGGTAGTCATGGTTGAGGTTCACGGTTACGACAGCGTCCGAGGGAGATGAGCGGAGAGAAACATGGTGTAGGTCGATTAGATTCCCGACGTGCCCCTTGTAATCTCCACAGAGGGGGAAAAGAACGGGTGCACGAGCGCGTAATTCGCCGTCTTGTGTGTGTAATGCGAGGGACCGGCCAAGCGTTCGTAGTATAGACCCTTGCTTTGTTAGAGCACTACTGGATTTTGAGTTACACAAGGGAAAATTTGAGCGAGATAAAGGGGGAGTGATGAATTTGATCAAATACATTGAATTGTTTGTAATGTTTTGAAATTTCTCTTATATAATATTTTCTTTTTCTTTTTTTCTTTGAACTTGTGTTTTGCGCTGCTAACAGTGGGGGGAAAGGGGAAGAAACTCTCATCGCCAGGATAGGGAGATACGGAGAAAGGAAAAATGGAGGGGGATGAGGCGTAGGAGTAGGAGTGATTAGTAGGGATGAGAGAGATAAACGGCCCGCTACACCACACACACACACGCCCTAACCAAAATTATGTACAAATATGTATAAAGTGGAAGGGGTATCCAAGCGAACGTAATCTTCATAGTAGCCTAACCCCTTTTTTACTCCTAGTGGATAAAAACTTTGGGTTTAAACTTGAAAAAATATAACGAAATTTTCAATTTAGGGAAAGGTTGAGGGAGGGTTGTGTAGGGAAGAGAGATTGAGTAGGTTGAATTAAATGGTACGGACACCACGAGCCAACTCAGCTCTCACGCGCCTCCGGTATTGGTCACGGTACTGGATACGGCCGTATGTTCCGAAGCCGACAGCGAGGA